AAACAATTGAAGTAATTATATACAGTAACACACCAAAAGTAATTCATTACATACTATTTGCTATAAATTCTTCTTATAAAAACACCGAACATTTCCATTGATCAATTTAAGTAAAACTTATTTGAAAAAAACCATTCTAAAGAGTTTCAATGTGGATAATTTCAAGTTATTTGAGAGTGAGGAATTATAGTTTTTATCTCAAAGAAATAAAGTTCATTTCACCTGCGAATGTTAGACTGGGGTGTATATAAATTATTCCGTTTAAAGCACTTTTAAGCCATGATCACAATATGGTGTCCAGTATTTAAGATATGATTAATATCGAATAAATAATGGTAAAAAATTGGTTTTTTATTTGTCAAATTACTTATGAAACAAAATAAGACCATGCATTGTTGTTAATTAGTATATTTAAACATTAAGCTATAATAAAAATATTAGAAAATCATGTTTAAAATAGATTATCTCAACTATAAACTATATCTCTTTTGAAAACTCTTTAAATTATTATTATTATTAAACATACATAAACCAGAAATCGAAATCGACATTTTCATATAAAACTTTAATAAATTAATGTGCTTAACACAAGTTTGTGTCATGGTATTTACGAAACTTTTCCCGTTGCATAATAAATAATCTACATTACTACTACAATTTGAGAAGATTCATCAATGAAAAACTATCGACGTTACGTACATATGTATGTAGTGTGACGATGCTGACTTAGGCTAAATATAAATATTAATTAGGTACCGAAACTTCAAACAAATGAATTTTATTTGAAACAGCAATATCGTGTAAAATAGGATACTTAAAAAACCACGACTTTGTCGTGTTTGAATCATTTAAATAAAAAGTTTATACCTACATTGTCCTTTATTATCAATTTTTAAAATATATAATTATTATGAAATGAACAGAAAATTATTATAAACATAATGAATTTAGCTCCAGGTGTTATCGAGAAGACTTAGGAAGGAGAAGAAAACAAAAAGTATGTCAAGTGTTGAACGCTCCAGGCTCTGTCAAGTGTTGAACAGTACACTACCGTTACAAATAACCAATCTTTAAGGATTTAATGATACAAGATTACATAACATATCATGAGATCTAAGATTTTGGTGAGTATTCATTTAAATGAAACTATTATTTTCGGATCGGTACGCATAATTTTATTATGTTTAAAACTTACATGCTCCTGACATTTTCATCTCGTCTGCAAGTGAACACGGTTACTGCAAAGAAACCGAAACGTTGTTAGTACTTATGTAGTTTATAAACATAATTAAATAACGCCTGGTAATTTGAAAACTATTAGTTTTATTCATAAAACATATAGGTATATTCAATCTACTCTGTTAATGGAAAAAATATAGAGCCGGCAATAAAATATTGTATTTAATTTTGTTCCTAAATTTTAAATTAGTTATTTCGATTTTTAATTATAATGCTACTTGTTTATATAAAATATTAAATGCATTTTATGCAATCTTAAGAGCAAATAACATTCTTCTTGAATTTTTTTAATTCAACATATTAATAACAACGAATTAAGAATACTCAATTAATACTTTAAAATGAAGACCTGGAGAACAAAATACATAACTAAATAGTATTTTTTATAATGTTTTCCATGTAAATAAACAACTCTAAAATGCCTTTTCTAACAGTAGACCTATTAATCATATAGGAATACTATTCTAAATGGAAATATCAGCTCATCTTCAATATTAACTAACCTCGATCTAACAAAAGGGATCCTGTATCTACAATTTTTACAATAACTTGCAGTCTTTGAAGGCTTTTAAAACGTTATTGCGCACAACATATTTACTTCAGTAATACCACCGTATAGGCCTCCTACGAGTCTAAAGCACTACAAAATGCCCTGAACCGAATAATGTATGAAGATTCTCAGCAGTTTTAACTCCAAACGCAATATGAACTTTATTCCAACAAAATAAAAGCGATAGTCCTTTAATAATTCAAGTGCAGGAATCGACTTTATGCATCCGCATTGAAAATCTTTTAGATGAGAACGTCTTCTTTAGATAACTTTGGAGTTCAAGATAGTTTTATGAAGAGATTTAAAAGATCTGAAACTCTTTTTTGTATGACTCGAAGCAATATATAGTGTGTTTTGTATAGAATTAAATCAATTAAAACAATAAAAAATAAGACTCCAAAATATTTAAGAACCGGAATAAGTTACGGTTTTATTATATTAATATTTGCTGGCAAGAAAAAAATAACGGAATTTAATAATGTATTCTAGAATGTTCATAATTATTGTATTAATAATTTTATATCAAATATATATACAAAAGTAAATATTATCCATAAAGCATACCTACATAATAAAACAAATAAAACGTAAAACGAATATTATTTTAATACTCTCTGTACTAAAATCTGTTTAGACTATATATTCTATTTTTTGAGTGAATATTCTAAAATACCTATATATATGACATAATTACAACTATTATTAAACACTCATAAGATTATACATACGAAATTCGTAATGAATTTTACATACAGCCCTCGTTAAGGCATATATTGCTATTGGAAGCGTGTTATTCAATAAGAATTTTACGATAATTTTGCATCAACATATCCCTTAAATACGTTTAAAAAACTGTTTATAAACAAATTATTCGAGCATAGCATTATAGTCTTAATTTTAAATACGTAAATACCTCTCGTATTGTGTATAAAAACCTATATGAATTTATAAAGTAATTTTACAACCTATATCCGTAAATCAGTTCCTTCAAATTCACATCTAGATGTTTATTATGTCGTCTGTTTATCGCATGTCGCATTACAGCAAACTACATTAATCCATATGCTCAGATGTATATTATGTGTGCTATGATCAATAATTAAAATATTTTGTAAAAAGATTATACATTCGTTTAACTGAATAGTTTTCAGTTATTCATCATGTACATAATATTAAATATTGATTTCTCATTATGAATTGCAATTAAAATAATTTAAATAGAGCACAATGGAATCAAAGTTTCTATAAATCAAAGTTTCCATGCATCGTGATAACATGAAACTACATCGCGTTTTTATTTTTTAATATTATCAAAAATATAAGTGAGGGACAAAAACGAAACTATTATATTAAATTTAAATTAAAAATAGTATGTACGCTGTAAAATTTCTTTTTTAATTATTTTTTATTCATCGCAAACAGTTTTTTAAACAAAAATTAACGGCTAACTTTCGCAAGAGAAAAACTCTATCTAATAACTTTTACTTTATAAAATATAAAGAATATACATAGGTCCTCTTCTACTATCTATATTAAAACTTTTATATTAGGTAATTTTGAAATATATTGTAATTATTAAGTGCTAGTGAGTTTACAATCTAGATTGTTCGAGATGGTATCAACCTTTCGTAGATCGACGTAAAGTAGTAGTAGAAGTAGTAGTTTAAAAGTAGTAGACATTGACTACATACTTTACGAGACATCTTTATACATATAATTCTTCTGTGAGTGTGTATGACACTGAACTTCTCTCAAACGACTGGACCGATTTTTATTAAATTTTTTGTGTATGTTCAAGGGGATCTGGGAATTGTTTAGATTCACAATTTTGTCCACTGGGTAATGTTTTTTTACTTAATTTTTAATTTATTAATAGTTGTTGATACAAACGTTTTTTTTTTGACAATAGATTTGACAAGTAACTAATATGTCAATCATTCTGTCGCACTTCAAAACACGGAGATTTATGACTTTAATATGTAAACTCTAAAAATATAAATAAAAAAACGTAACAGATATTTCTTGATTATAGGGCGATACGAAGTTCGTCGGGTCTTCTAGTATTCACATTTTTATGATATATGATATTTATATATGTGTGTGTTGTCTGTTTCTGTGCTTGTAAAATGAAACCAACAAATCTTAAAGGAACTTTATTAGTTTTCAACACTATATATAAATCTATATACTAATGTATTTTATTTTTTTCATATATTCTGTTCTTCTAAAACGTCAACCGTCTTGACCGATAGGCCGATCATTTCACTAATATTCTTCCAATTATCAGCGTCTATTATCGACATCATATCAAAAACTAAATACGACGCTTGAACTAAAAAAAAATACGAATAATTTAAGTGAACTGTTTTTTATCTACTTAAATTTATTTTGACAAAAATATTTTTTATGATTAATGACATTTTTAAAATATAGAACAAAAATACTTATGATTTTCTTATTTTAGGATATCAAATAATATGGTACATTAACGTTGCTAATGACTTGTGACTTATTTTAGATAGCAGTAACAAATTAACCAACAAAAATAATTCGAAAATCTAACCTCGCATTTGACTTATTTTGTCTACAATTCTCTTCAGATTTGATAATTCAATTTCAATAATCTCCATGGCTAAAATAATAAAGTCTGGATCGTCAAAACAATCTGAAAGATTCATTTCAGTTAACACAAAACAATAACTTAATATGAATACAATTCTCAATGACAATTTAGTTTTAAAATTAATCAGTCATTGCCCGCCATTTTTTATAAACTGCAACCGATCAAAACTATTATGCCAGCTGTAACTATAACAGAAAAAAAAATTACAGAAATATCAAGCCGAGCATTTAAATTAAATATAGGTCAAGCGTTGCGAGCAATTACAACTTAAAAGCCCCCAGGCGTAATGAAACAGCGATTTTTTTATCTGTTATCGATAAATCACAATGAATTGTTCGGACGATGATGCCAATCATTTAGCCAGGCGGACTAAATCTGTTTTTGGATGGGTTTTGGTATGTCGCGACGTCACTGAATGTCATTGGATTTATAAATACGATCAGCTCCAGAAATAGGTGGCTACAGGTTTTCCAGGCGTACCGACCGAAATAAAGTAGCCTGGATTCGGTTAACAATATTATTGTCTGCACCGTGCGTCGCATCGTTGTGTCTAAAATTTTACGGCCTATTTAATTTAATTACTCAGCCATGGATGAAGATGATGTACAACAATTTTCTCTGCGTTGGCACAACCACCAGGTAGGTAAGTATGTTTTGTACACACCCATACATTTTTTTTTACACACGTAAAAACATTTTATAACCTCAAAGGTGACGTTTATTTTTAAACTGTATTAACATGACACTTCGAGTAAGTGTATTTAAACTGAATAATTGCCTGTTATTTGTGATTTGAGAAACGTCTTAAATGTTTTATGTATTTTTTAAATAATATTTCTTAATAATTACAGATACACTGAGGACCGTGTTATCTGAAGCTACACTGTTTCTTATACTTCATTGGACACCTTACAAATGGTACTAGCGACAGCAACGCCATCTTTACTTATTATTTTAATCTTTCTAGACATTTGGCTGTATGTGTTTGAACTCACAGATACCTATAAACATTAAAACATCATATAATTGCACAACATATTGGTAAAAATAATAATACAGCGAAATTAATGAAAATTAATATCTAAATTAACATATTTCAACATAAAACAACAACACAATTATAACAATACATTGTCATAGAAATAATTAAAAGCTCATATAAAAATAAACACTAGTGTTGAATTTAAAAAAGAGAAAATAAAAACTTTATTTACACGTGACAAACAGTTTTACATATCAAATGACCAATTATTCCAACAATAAAGGTATAATTTGATTCACTTTGTTGACTAACTGTAATTTTCTCTGTATTCATTACTAAGAACTTTTTGTTTTATTTCAGCTGTTTCTTGCATGATATGTGTTAAAGAAATTAATATAACACGATAAAAACAAAACAAAAAAAAAAAAAAACATTTAAACATTTTCAGTAGAATTTAGAATAGATACTAATTATTATAATTAAATAGATTTATGTTCTGAAATATATTTTAATATGTTTATTATATTTCAGAACAGTGTGATTGGTGCGCTTGGCCGTATGTTGACGACTGGAGCCTTGAGTGACGTCACACTGAGCGCCACCGGTGTAAATTTGAAGGCACATAGAATTGTATTAGCCGCCTGTAGCCAGTACTTCGCTAAGTTGTTCAAAGTAATTATACAACTAACTTTAAAACCTTTTTAGACTCATTTATTCCACATCTGTGTTGTTCAGAAATATTGCTTAATATACAGTGGGCCCCGATAGCCCAAGCGTCCAATATTTCGAAATGATCTATTTTTTATAATTGAATATATTTTTTGTCTATCTTTACTAATACATCGTTAAACAAAGTTATAATTTGTACACACCACAAATATTTTGATCTGCGTTTAAGGTATAGTCTTGATTCTGAGTGCTTGTTTGAATTTGTCTACATGTGATGAAGCGATATTATTTGTTCTTTAATACATAAATAATATATAACGTACTAGTTTTTGCCCGCGACTTCGTCCGCGTTAGTTTCGTCATTAGTAATATATGTATGTACTTATAGCTGACCAGGCGAACTCTATTCCGTCATAGAGGCCATAAATAATCAGGTTTTTCCTGTTTCAATCAAACAGAATGATTGACATATTAGTTAGTTGTCAAATCTAATGTCAAAAAAAGCGTTTGTATGGGAAATAGAAAAGGGCTGTTTTTAGGGTTTTCTCGGCAATTATTCCAATTTTTCTCACCTTTTATACCTTCCCTGAACCTCCACGAACATTTCAAGACTAAGATAAGACAAATCCGTTCAGCCGTTCTCGAGTTTTAGCGAGACTAAGGAACAGCAATCCATTTTTATATATATAGAAGATAGAAGATATCGTATCGTATAAAAATTATGCAAAAAAAATTACGAACTATAGGGGTTTCTAGGCAGTTTCTATATATTGTAAATACATTCTACAGTCAGATTCTATAGCCCCACACTACTTTGCAAACTGTTTTTTCGGATTCTTTGGTCCATTGTATATAAGATGACAAGGAATTGAAAAGAAAAAATTCAAATCAGGCTTTGAGCCAAAAACTTTCCATATATTTCATATCTCCTAATCTAACGCTTTTGGGTGTATTATGAGTTTTTATTTCCAGGATGTAGAAGCAGAGAACAGCACGTTAGTAGTGGTTTTGAACTGTGAGGCGGAAGAGTTGCGTTTACTTCTGACGTTCATGTACACGGGCGAAGTGACCGCGGGGCGAAGCGCCCTCCCGGCTCTGTTACAGCTGGCCCGCACGCTCCAGGTGTCAGGATTAACTGACGCTGATACGGTAAGTTATTGGAGAGATGAAAATTTTTTTGAACGTAACTTAGTAAGCTCCTGGTATGTTAAAAAATGTCACAAAAGATTTGATGTCATTATTTTTTTGTTACTAACTGAAAGAATTGGACTGTTGTTCCGCAAAATGAAACTTCTTTTTCTGTACGTAACTTTTTAACCTTCTTGTATGTGCTACAAACTTCCACAAAATATTTGATGGCATACATTTTTTTTAATAACTTTCTGAATGGACTTGACTGTCTTTCATCCTGATGGGAAGTAGAAATTAAGTCTTTGGTCAATAAAACCCCATAATTATAAGCCTTTCCTTAAAAACGCTTACCTTGAAAACATTGAAGATATCCCATATTACTTTAGAGATTTGAATATGTTCAGTCATCAGATTAATAAGTGTTTATAAAGGTAGTTTTAATTTTCTTAATATTATGTATTAGGACTTTGACCAAATTTACATATATTATATAATTAGATGGATTTTAAAAATAACTATCGTGATATTCAAGGCGGAATCATTAATTTTGTTTCAGAATCCTCCTATTCCACAACCCATTCCAGAAATACCAGTCGAACCGATATCACCAATAAATTTAGAAAAATCCAATTCTTCAATAGATTTAATAAAAAACGACGTCAACTTTGATACGGAGAAAAAAATCGATGAAATTCAAAAAGAACCGGAATATTTAAGAGACATGTTGGATAAAAATGACAATGATAAGGACAAATTAAGTAAATTGGACCAAATAGTACAGAATCTTTACAGCACTCATAGAGTTGGAAGTTATGCTGCCAGTGTACCGCCTAATATTAACAGTTTAATGGGTAAGTGGAATTTATCATTTAACGGGTCTACGATACTTGCAACTCCTCACCAAAAATCTATTTGATTATCATGAGCATTTACTACGGTACATTCAAGAGTATTTTGTATTTTGAGGTGGATATTTCAAGAAAGCAACTTCTTCCCTATTTACGCAAAGGGGTATAAATTTATTCGATTCGCGAAAAATTGCATCCCCAAAAAATAATGAGATCTATGATTTTTCACGAGATTTCATCGAAAGATCGGATTTACTACTCCTTTATAATTGTTTTTAACTACATACTCTCGACGTTTCGTGTTACTTTGCAGCGACCGTGATCCTGTTTTCTATCCTATCTGTCAATTTCGGTTCCCACTTTCCCAAAATACGTAATTTAACACAACCATGAAATATATTCCTTTAAAAACCCATATAATAACTAAGTCCAGTTTCATTAATATATCAATATCTTCTAGATCAGGACAGCCGTCGTTCGTCAACTTGTGGTATATGTAACAAACGACTCAGCAACCAATATAACCTCAGAGTTCACATGGAGACTCACGCGGGTCGAAGACATGCTTGTTGTAGCTGCAGTCACGTATCACGATCAAGAGACGCTCTCAGAAAACACGTGGCTTACAGACACGGAAGAGGTGCAGTGTGAAAGAGGTTTTAATGTTTTTCTAGGCATTATATTCAGTGTTGTTTGCAGTCTGAAGGTTTTATATTTCGCTAGGTTATTAATCAGTGTTTTTTTATTAGGGCTGAATCTGTTGTACATTCTGCCATGTCATTTAATGTTATTTTCAAATGTTAAATGTTAAATTCAAATTATTTGTAAAGGTTTATTATCTGTAACTATTGTTTTTGAATGTTATGGCTTCATTCACACTGGTATCGTGGAATATTTGGCCAATGTCAACGTTTTTAATTTTGGAATAATTTTTCATCTCAAATAGTCAGAATGGAAGTAATTAATGTTACAGTAGGCTAATTATTTATATAATCTGGAACATAAATCAATTAACTTACTTGTTGTGTACAGATAGAAACAATACAAGAAAAAAACCATACGGTTTTAATAGGATTAAATTTTATCTATGTTGTAAAACAATCATTAATGTTATTTAAAATATGGTGATACATTTTTCTTTTTCACTCAGTTAAAACTATATACATATGTATAATTGATCACGTAATTAGTACATTTATATTCTTAATATTGTTTTCTGTAAATAATTTTCTCTCACTACTAAGCCTATATATATTTGGGCGGTCGATTTTTTATTCCCCATGTTATACATAAATCACACTTACTAATAAACCCAAAGTGGTTGACTTCCCAAAATATATTTTTACATTTGACTCTAGCTTACTTTCAGTCTAAATGTATTTTATATCAAGTTTTATTCTTACTCTGTATAACTGGATTGTTATTTTATCTATATAACCATACATAATCTGTAACATGTCTAGTCATTAATCATTAATTTTAAGGAAAGCACAAAAGACAGTAATTGTATTAATTATTTAATAAATAAATATTTATTTTATATTCAATAAAACACTCAATACAAGTGTACACAATTTATTTATTACTTACATTTAAAAATTTTAGTACAAACTGCATAGGAAAAAAAAAACGAGAAAATATTACCAAGTACAAAAATACTGTTCCAAATATTATTTTTGTTCTGAATAAAATATATCGATAGGACAATGCAAGATGGATTCACGCTATTGATAAAAAAGATAAACTACATTGAGTACAAAAAATATTTATTAGACATTCCTCGAGATCTTTTAAGCTCAATAATATTAAAAAAAAATGCAAAAAAACGCGGCCGTTAGTAACAAACCGGTTAAAGTTTAAACTTATTCAAGCAAATAAATATGTTAGTATATTATTTAGAATTATCTTGAGAATTTTTAGTGCCGCCGTATATAGCGTTTACAAAGTACATTATATAATACTTTAATAGTAATATTCCCAATATATAGTTGTTGTTAGCTTCAGTTTAGGCGTTAGGCACCGACCACACGCGCGTGTTTGCGTCTTGACCAACCGACACGATTGTCTCATTGTCTACCCACGACACTCCCGTGATCTGGCTTTGTGGGTGAGCGTCTGAAACACGAAGAGATAATAATTAACATAATAAAATATTTAGACATAGAATTTATTACCAAAAAAGAAACGAACATTGTGTTAAATAAGAAACAAAATCAACTAGTAGCGACATCTAGCATCAGTACATTACTTCACATAAAACACAAATATTATGACATCACAAAGTCACTATACGGATTTACGAAATATGTTATAATATATTCATTTTTGATTTATGAACTATAACTGTGTATAATATCATCGAAATCTATTCAGTAGTTTTCGTGTGGTGTAGTCACAAACTTTCTCATGATATAAGTAGCAAGTAGAAATAGATATATAAGAATGAGATTGATCTAAAATCTTCAGAGTATAACATGAATTTCTTTTAAAACCATCAGGCGCGAATATACTACTGAGAGTTATAGTGAAAAACTAACGAAACAGTTTGAAGTTAAAGCATCTAAGGAGACTTTACAAGCTGCCAATTAATATAATTAATGACTTGATACTTTGATATCAGTTGCTATCTTCATCTATCTGTATATATATAAATACTTTTTTTAGTATATTAGTACATAATAAATTTGCAATAATGTCATATTTTTTTCAAGGCTTATCTTTTGTTAGAGAAACTTTTAAATTAGATTTAACAGAGGTTTTTGATCTGTAATAAAATAAATTTTTTAATATGTAATTCTGTTGTTCAATTAATAGTAATGATATATGTATGTTGGACATAGTTACTTGTCCTAGTTTAAATGAAACTAATATTTTCGGATTTTAGTGAGTGTCACTCACATCTCGTCTGTCCGTGATCACGGTTGCTGAAAAGTAACCGAAACGCTGGGAGTATGTTGTTTCTAATCAAAAATAAAACGCGAAGTAAAATCCGAAAATATTCGTTTCATTTAAATGAGTACTCGCGAAAATCTTAGATCTCACTGTCCTAGTTTACTAACTTTTAATAACGATATGTTTAGTTGGAGCAGCGACGCTCCATACAATGAGGCATGTGTCTAGGGCTCCGGAGACAACTCTTGAACTATCAGGGCTCCAAGCGACACGGTTTACACGTGCCGTGTGGAAGCCCCACTCCGCTTTATGAGCTAGCTGTAAACAATAAATATATTCCATAGTCATTATATTGTAATCTATACAGAGTAATAAATGTAATTGCATGAAGCTTGAGTGTGGTTATATACAAAAAAATCATTAATTAAAATTTATTATAGTTTTTGGGATGAGATCGTAACATATACACATGCAGATAGATCCAAATAAAATGTTATAAAGACAATTATGTAAATATTTCTGCTAACTGTATGTATATTATAGTTCAATAAATGCCTAATAGATAATATCTAAATCTCTGATCATTTGGAAAAAGTAATCTATCTGAGTATACTTCTTCTACCTGGCAATTTCCCAGCTATAGCCAGGGTCTGCCTTACATGTTGTGAATAATTTCGGCTAATTGTTTTTACGACCGGCCGCCTGCCTGACATCAACCCCTCTTTGGGAATGCATTAGTGCATAATGCATAATGCATCACTGATTGCATTCCTCTTTGGGAATGCAATCAGTGATGTCTAAATATTATTCGAAAGTACATATGACTCGGAAAAATCACAATAGTACTTGCCAGGATCGAACCCGCGCCCTCGGCAACGAGAGGTAGGCCCTTTAACCACTAGGCCACCACTGAATAAAATGTATCTGAGTATGTAATTACATGATAAAATACATAGTATATAAAGTAACCTTATATTCCTCAGTAGTATATAGTATGATCTTTCTATGAGCGTCGCAAGCTACAAGGTAGCGACTGTCAGGGCTGTACCGAGCGTCTGTGACCGGGCCCAAGTGTTGTAGCTCATTGATGACACTCAGATCGGATAGAGAATATATGTGGACCTTGTTGTCATCACCTGGAAAATATACGTTAAATATATGTATAGCTAATGAAATATATATATATATATGCTAGATGAGCCGGCGAACTTCATATCGCCCTATAATCAAGAAATATCTGTTACGTTTTTTTATTTATATTTTTGGAGTTCACCTATTAAAGCCCTAAATCTCCGTGTTTTGAAATGCGACAGAATGATTAGTTAGTTGTTAAATCTAATGTCAAAAAAATGTTTGTATCAACAACTACTAATAAATGAAAAATTAATTAAAAAATCACTGTCCAGGGGGAAAATTGTGAATCTAAACCATTCCCAGATCCCCTTAAACACACACAAAAAATTTCATCAAAATCCGTCCAGTCGTTTGAGAGAAGTTCAGTGACATACACACTCACAGAAGAATTATATATATAAAGATATATCGTCGGGGATAGTGCAAATCCGTGTAACTAGCATTGGATAATTCCGCATATCTACATCGGAAGCAGATTATCAGAAGAAAGTTAGAAATTAACGAATTTTAAGGTATATTTTTCCCAATGAGTAATAAATTAAACTAGATTTGGTAATAAATTAAATTAAAATTGGTAGTTACGCTGATTTTACACTATCCCCGACGATGTATATATAATATGTGTGTGTGTGGATGAGACGAAACGTCTTAGCATTCAATCTATTCATCGTGCGTGTGTCGGGTCCATCGTTGCAGAGAGAGGAGCTTCAACAGTGACTGGGACTTGCGACCCAGGTGTAAGTTTAAGGGCCCCTATCTAACGCGTTAAACGCTCACCTCCACCGTCCAAGCTCCTCTCTCTAACTAACCAAATTTGGAACGAACCTACTAGGGCTGCTTTCGTCACACGTTCCAAGAATAAACTGATGTTATTTCTGGACAGGCCCAAGTCTTTTAGTAGGTTGTAGAGAGATTTAGCTATTATAGCTCTAGCTCCTACTTCTACCACGGACAAATTTACAATGAACGTATTCTTAGTGAGCTCGTAATACTTGTTTACTTTGTTAATGTATATATGTATATAATTTATATTGTTAATAATACATACCACCAACAGCAACATGTTTAGACTCTGGATCTATTGTAACACAGCTTGGTTCATAGCTTAGAGACAGAGATTTTTGTTTAACATTGCCTTTCAGTACTAGGAGCTGAAAATATATAATAATTATTAATAAGTTATAGTTATACACAAATAATGAGGAACACAATCAGAAACATTAATATTGAAATTATAAAAATATAGATATATGCATTTATAAGGAAAAAGAATTTAAATTAAAAAAAAAACATATTTAATGCGATCAACATTAAAAGGATATGAAGACAGTGAGTAAGTTGTATTAATAATATGATCAAAGATTTTCGCGAGTACTCATTTAAATGAAATGTATTTTCGAATTTACTACGGCAGACGAGATGCCTGTTGCTGTAAAGTAACTGAAACGTCGGGAGTATGTAGTTTATAATAAAAAAATCGCCTAGTAAATCCGAAAATATTAGTTTCATTTAATTTGAAATATTTCACTATTACAGAGTAGTAAGATGCGATATAGTAATGTATTTAAATACGAGCACAGACATGAGATAACATTAGTATATAAAATTATTTACTTGTAAAGGAATATCATGTCATAAGTATATCATTATTTGTCACGACTAAGAAAAATTTACTTCAAGTTTATAGAAAAAGTTATATACAAAGTAAATATTTAATTCATAGTAATACAAATATTATTGTGTTAATAACTCTTACCTCTTTAACGGTAGCCACAACTGTAATTCCTTCACTCTCAAGATGATCCAAAGCTTTTGGCTGAGATCCCAAAGGTGTTGCATCAGATGAATATATTGGGACATCACCTGGAGATATATAAACATATATTAACATATCAAGATATATGTATTGTATGTTGTTGATAATGAATTAAATTTAATTAACCGCATGTTGAATTCTCCATTCTTAATTATATATCTCAACTTTAATACAAATTCATTTTTGTTTTCGGTTGTAAAATGCAATTTAGAATTTATGTTTATAGTAGGGCAATGTAAATAATCTTATTTATCAGATTGTAGCAATTTCTGTACTTAAATCAGAAATTTGGTTAGAAAATTGATGTGCTTAGAAAATGACTAAAAAAACCTGTTCTTGTTTTACTACAATTGATAATTACCCATCCAATTTTAGACTATAATAGGTGTTACTTAACTTTAATTCTCACGAAATTATGATTAGTAGCAGTGGCGGCTGTACCTTAAGTGCGCTCGTGCGCTGAACCACCAATTCAAAATATTTAAAAATTACAAAATATTATGTCATCTTAATTTTTAAATTACCATTTTAATATTTATTTTTTAAACATACAAAAAGGTATAAAAAATTTAATTTCCAATTATGGTCAAAAAGTTTGAGCGCTTTACTAAACTCATATCGTGCGCTCCGGCGAGTGCACGAGGACTGCTAATACATCTTGTATGAGACACGCATTAATACGCCTGACGCGTGAGACAAAAGATAGTTCATAGAAATGTACCGAGTAATGAGTCGGTTCTCGAGCGCCGCACGAAGCGGCCGAAGGTTACCGAGAGCACCCGATGTATGACGTATTGAGTCGGCCGGCAAGGGGCCGGCCGAAAGGATGGGTGCTATGATTGACATTTCGTTAATCGTTATTGGTATTGTTTCAACTTTCACTGTATGCGTGACGCGTTAATTCGTTATTGTTTATAATTATTTCCGTAATTCGTTTTAGTTTTTATTTCGTTTCTATAATAGAACTTTTATTCTGTACTGTGTTTTTTATTAGTTGAAAATGAGTATAAATATTGATTATATTAAAGAAAATAACAAAATTTTTCAAAGTAAAGTGAACATAAAATTGGCCGGGCCGCCACGACCCTTTTTAAATTTAAAACAAGAGTGTAAATCGAAAAATAAAGCATTTATACGAAGTTTTAAAAGTGAAATGTATAATAGAAAGAAATGGTTGTGTGGATGTGAGCGTCTTAATGCATTCTTTTGTTTTCCTTGCATTATTTTTGGCGGAGAATCGATTTGGACAGAAACTCGAATCAAGGATTTGACGCATTTAAGTGAAAAAATAAAAAACACGATTCTTCACAAGTACACCTACAAAATGTAATGAGTTTGTCTGTATTAGGCACAGTCGATATTCGTAATCAGCTAGATTCTGTGTATAGAAGTAATATCCAAAAGTATAATAAACAAGTTGATAAAAACAGATACATTTTATCACGTCTTATCGATTGTGTCAAGTTTTGTGGTGCATTTGAGTTAGCTTTGCGAGGTCACGAAGAAACTATTGAGTCCAGTAATGCTGGAGTGTTTCGTGGATTAATAGACTTTGTATCAGAGTTGGATATAGTTATGAATTAATGTACAAAAAATAAACATATTTTATGTCAATTGTTGTTTTTGTCAATATTTTAGTAAAGTGAACCACCAGTTCGATAACCCACCAGCCGCCACTGGTAGTAAGTACAGTTTTAGCTATTAATAGTTTTATTTAGATTAACTTTTGTTACAAGTGGCGCCAACTCTGCCTTACTAATGATAATAAACTATGATCTTGAAATCATTTTTATGACTGATTATAATCAATTATAAAACTGAACCATTGATTTTTTTTTATGCAACATTTAAGTATCGATTTGTATTTGAAAACTATAAATACTGGCTTCAACCATCTTGTGAGACTTTACTGGAAGTAACGCTGAACATTGAAAATCAAATCTGAAACTGTACCTCAAACACTAAACCATTTATTTTGTAATCTATGTTAAAATCCGATAGTAAGGATTGATAACGAAAATCATTTAAATCTACCTTCATTCAATTGGTAATTTAATAATAATAATAATTTATTTCAGACCATATTGTATATCCATATAGTGTTAGTACAAATTAAACTTAATAAATGAATTGGTTATTAAGTTTAGACATTTCATATAATAGTAACATATCAAACCTTCGTTAGCGGGTACAGCCTTCCTCAAGGTATCATCTATTCCACACGTAAGTAGACTTCCGTCTTCGCAAGCCTTCATTCCATTCACTTGGTTTCCGTGACCCGGACCGGAAATGTGGACAGCTTCACCTGGAATATAGGTTAATTATTTATTATATTTTCATCATCATTATCATCATCAGCCTATCAGAGCCATCTGCTGAGCATAGCCTCTTCTCACATGGAGAAGTTTTGAGCATTAATCAACACGCTGGCTCAAGACGGGTTGGTGATTTCAAACTTATAATTTGTACAATTAAGTCCATGTTTCCTCACTATGTTGATACTTGCCAGGTTTCGAACCCGCGCCCTCATACATGAGAAGCGGGCCTTTAACCTCTAGGGCACCACGACCACTATTTTATGGTAATATATACCAAAGACGGTGAAGATGTTTGAATGTTTGTCACTCTTTCACACAAAATCTACTGAACGGATTTTAGAGAAATTTTACAGTAGTTTAGTTAAGACCTCAAATGAAGACATAAGATATAATTCATCCTTTCATTCCTTATAGTCCATAAAACTTCATAGCAGTCATTGTGTATGAAGTCACATGACACACTATAGATGTCGCTGCCGGTCGGTTTCAATATATATTGCTTTAACATACTATATAATATATTGACTCCACGACGTCAATGTCGGGATCTAGGCAGACGAAAACGTTTTCAATAATTAGTTTTATCATATAATGATTTGAGATGATTCACTAAGACATTTAAATTGTCATAGGTCCAGAAACCAAAATTATATGTACATAGATAGTAACTAATTATATACATAGATAGTAAAACATGCGAAGATTTATACATGAAAAACTGAAAACTATGTTTTTTTCATTCACATCTCATCTGCCTGTGATCACGGTTGTTATAAAGTAGCCGAAAGATTATTATTAGTATGTAGTTTTTACAAAATTACGAAAAATATTAGTTTCATTTGAATTATACATACTTAGTTCCACTACGCCTATAAGGCCTCATAGAGAAGATAAGAGTATTTTAATCAATTACCAGTATTAACATTCCACCTGGTGACCACACCGTCGTGACTAGCTGTGAATAGAGAGGTTCCGTGTAATGCGAGGCAGGTGATAGGTTTATTGTGTCCGGTCACCACACGCAGAGGTTTCTCTGGGTTTGATATGTCCAAGTATGTGATGTCACCCGATAATGATATTGTTATGATGTGATCCTTCTGCCATAGACATGACACCTGAAAAATGGTAAATTGGTATGGTTTTTATTTGTGTCAGCTTCATTGGTGTATGTTTTTGTAATTTTTATTTATAACTAGAAGACCCAGCGAACTTCGTATCGCTCTATAATCAAGAAATATCTGTTACGTTTTTTATTTATATTTTTGGAGTTTACCTTTAAACCATAAATCTCCGTGTTTTGAAGTGCGACAGAATGATTGACATATTAGTTAGTTGTCAAATCTAATGTCAAAAAAAAAAGTTTTGTTTTATAGTGACTGACGTTTCATATCAAGTTACACGGGAATGCTGTCGAACGGGATAAAAAGTATCCTATTGCAATTTCCTGGCTCTAAACTACCTCCCTGCCAATTTTCAGCTAAATCGGTTTAGCCGTTCTTGAGTTATAAGTGGAGTAACTAACACGACTTTCTTTTATATATATAGATTTAAGTCTATAGTGAACTGTTTGTGCCTTAATAAAATAAAATGAAACAAGTTTCTTCTCAACAACTAAGGAGATTAATTAGATAAGTAAAACTTATATCCTACTAATATTATAATTGCGAGAGTTTGTGAGTGTGTGTATGTTTGTTACTTCTTCAGGCTCAAACGGCTGAACCGATTTTGATAGAATTTTGTATACAGGAAGCTGACGTCCAGGAATAACACATAGGCTACTTTGCATCCCAGAAATCCGCGGGTAACACCGCGGGGCGCAGCTAGTAAAGAAATAATTATTTATATGAACAGGATTTATAGTTTTTTGGTATACTATTTATATGATTTGTGTCAATATAACTTTGTAATTTCTTATACATCAAAGTATAGGAATAAAAATTTATCTCCTTCTTCTACCTGGCAATTTCCCAGCTTTTAGCCAGGGTCTGCCTAACATGTTGTGAATAATTTTGGCTAATTCTTTTAATAAAAAATTATATTCATATATGTATATGTTAGAATATGAGAGTGTAGGATAAGTAGGAACGAAATATAAGCAGTTGTCAGAAGAAATCAGAAGTCCTTTTCATTTGTAGATTTTTAAAGTTGTTTAAATCTTTCGTTTGTTATATTCAAATTTCATTTCACGATAAGTTTATATCGATATATTTGAAAATTATTAATTTAAAAATATTTTTATTTTTGTGTACGTTTAATAATATTAATATTGAAATTGTATCTAATATTATATGTATTTAAAAAAGTCAATTTTGATATTGTTTCTAAGATATATATCAATACTAGCTTTCTGCCCGCAGCTTCGCCCGCGTGGAGTTCGGTTATATCGCGTTTCCAAGAGAACCTTTCAAAATTCGAGGATAAAAACTATTCTATGTTCTTTATCAAGCTCAACTCTATGTCTGAACCATATTTAATTAAGATCAGTTCAGTGGTTTAGGCGTGAATACGTAACAGACAGACAGACAGAGTTACTTTCACATTTATAATATTAGTAGGGATATATACATTAAGATTATGGTAAATTACTTAATACAGTGTTTTATACCTGTTGATTTTCCACAGCATTTCCCATATTGAAGGTGTGAGTTCTCTCCTTAGTTTCAACGTCCCATATAGCACATGTCTTGTCTCCGGAGCATGATAACAGTTGCTTGCCGTCCGCTGACCATGAAATGCAGTACACTCCGCCCTTATGAGCCGGGGAGCCTATCTGGAATATGGAAAAATATATACAGCTGCGTGCAAAAGTATTAGGCACCCCTATTGTTAGTCACTATCTCATTATATTGCGGTCAAGTGTGTGTTTTATGGTTTAGCTATTGTATTAGCGGCAATTTTTAACCAAATTAAGATAAAATATTTATGACATCCAGGTGTGCTCCTAAGCGGTGTTTCTTCGAATTTGCTTTTTTTGCGTTTCGGGTTATAGTGTGTTATCAGTGCTTGCAGTGAACATACACGTCTTCTACGCAACTATTCCTATCACAATTCTTAAGACTAACATTTAACGTGTTAATCATGCTGAAAAAATCTGAACTTAGTGCTGAACAGCGTCTAAGAATTAAGATTTTACATGAACAAGGCATGTCTCAGGTTAAAATAGCCCGAGAAGTGAAGTGCTCGCGATGTGCAGTTCAATATGCTATCAATCGCTTCAAAGAGACTGGCACCCATGAAAATAGACCAAGAACAGGCAGAAGAAAAGTTACTACTGAACGGGAAGATCGATTGTTGATTAGGCAGTCTCTACAAAACAGGAAAAAAACTGCTTTAGAGCTCGCTGCAGCATTATCTGAGGCAAAAGGCAGCTCAGTGAGTGTTTATACTGTGAGAAGAAGACTTCTTAAAGCTGGATCAAAAGGATGTAAAGCAAGGAAGAAGCCGTGGCTGTCAGAACACAATAAGAAAAATCGGTTGGAGTGGGCACTCAAACATAGAGATCGGTCAGTGGAAGATTGGTCCAACATACTGTGGTCAGACGAATCTAACTTTGAGGTATTGTTATTTATTTTATGTACAATATTAAAACACATAAATGTTTTTAAAATAACGTACTGCAAGAAAAATAATAACTTTGAAAATAAATGTGTTTTTTTCGTTAGGCATAGGTGTTTGGAACACCCGGTGTGTGACTTATGTTAGGCGAAGGGTTGGCGAAGAATACAACCCAGAATGTGTGGTTCCCACTGTTAAGCATGGTGGAGGCTCAATAATGATCTGGGGCTGCATGGCTGCCGACGGAGTGGGCGAAATGGTGTTGTGTGAGGGACGAATGAATAGTATTAAATACACTGAAGTTCTGGAAACAGCACTAGCAACGTCGATAACGCAAATTTTCGGTGATACAAACACCGATGGCCTGAAATTTCAGCAAGACAACGCCACTTGCCACAAGTCCGCGCATACCATGAAGTGGTTTGCTGAAAATCATATTGATCTTTTGGACTGGCCACCACAATCACCAGACCTCAACCCGATTGAGCATATTTGGTCCATTTTAAAGAAAAATATCCGCAGGCACTCGATTAGCAATAAACAAGCTCTATTGGCCGCGTTACAGCAGGAATGGAAAAATATATCAAGAGAAGAATGTTTCAGGCTGGTAGAGTCAATGCCAAAAAGAGTTGCTGCGGTTATTAAGTCAAAAGGTGGACCTACAAAATATTAATTATTTTCTTAAAATAAACCATTGTAATCATAAATGCAGTTTTATTTACACTCGCTATGCTAAAACACCCTAAAACTTGTCTTACTGTAGGGTGCCTAATACTTTTGCCCGTGGCTGTATTAGACAACTTATATATCGATGGGTCATATGTATACAGGAAAATGTAGCAATTTAGCCATTTTCTTGCTTTAAACACTTCATAATACTGTATTCTACAACATCCATTTAAAAAATGTGTATTACTTGGTGGAAGGACGTAATTTTTATTGGAGTAAAAAAGCATAATTAACAAACTTTTTAACGAATAAGGGCTTATATAACGTATATTATAATATATATATTTAAAAAACTAGTAGGTTTACAAAAAAGTTTATCTAGCTTAAAAGACGTACATGTCATACTAGTTGCTCCGCAAAGTTTCAGAAGCATCAGTTGTCGCATGTAAACGATATATTGGCATCAAACTTAAAACACCTCTACTGAAAAATTTTCATTTTGCACATTGGCCCTTATACATAAGTGCTGTCGATATATGTTGTGATGGCCTTTAGTTTAAAGGCCTGCCTCTCGGGCACGAGGGCGCGGATTTTCGAACCTGGCATTTGCCAACATGATTCTTCCAAGTCATATGTATTTTCTAAGAGAATTTAGACACCACTGACAGAGTGTGAAGGAAAATGAGCATGATCATGAGCAAATATGAACTTATTTTCAAATTATAAGTTTGAAATCACCAATCCGTCTTGAGCGAGCGTGGTGATTAATTCTCAAACATTCTCCATGTGAGAAGAGGCCTTTGCTCAGTAGTGGGCTCTGATAGGCTGATGATAATGATGATGAATTATGATATATATAGCTTTAAATAGATTCTCATTTTTAGAAAACTCTAAGAGAAAGGTATTGTAATTTGATGTTATCAATATGTCTGTCTGTGGCATTCTAACTCTGAAACTGTTTGCAAGATTTGTTTAATGTTTTTAGATATGTGTATGTGTGTATGTATGTGTGTATATACGTGTGTATATACGTGCGCGTGTGCGTGTGTGTGCGTGTGTGTGTGTGTGCGTGTGTGTGTGTGTGTCTGTTTGTGTACAACAAGTCAGTGACGTACCTCTCCCTTAAGTTCGGAGGTGGCTCCATCGAAGAGGAAGATCTTTCCATCAAAGCCAGCTGACGCGAACAAACTGCCATCAGGGCTGTACCTGACGGCTTGAGCGAAACGAGTGTGCTCCTGGAATTAATGGAATTATTTGGATTATTGGAATGATGGATTTATTCTTATGATTGGAATTACTACACTATTTCCGTAATGAAATGCCCGTATACCTACTAATATTATAAATGCGAAAGTTACTCTGTCTGTCTGTCTGTCTGTTACGCTTTCACGCCTAAACCACTGAACTGATTTTAATGAAATTTGGTACAGAGATAGAGTTGACGTTGAGAAAGAACATAGGATAGTTTTTATCCCAGACTTGAAAAGTTCTCTTGGAAACGCTATATAACTGAACTCCACGCGGGCGAAGCTGCGGGCGGAAAGCTAGTTGGATATAAAATATATTGTTTTAATTAAATATGTTATCATACATGCTTGTGTAAGAATTGCTATGGAATGGAAACAGATTATCCTTTTTTTAGTATTTGTTTCTAATGATAAATACATACATTATAAGATTGTTATGAACATCCACATTATGTTTTACTTGTTAATGTAAGGTGTCTACTGTTTTTCTTGACAGCTTTAAATATTTTAACAAATTTGACATTTACGTTACTTAGTATCACATAATATTTATAATTTACGTTCCGTCAATTAAATAAAATTAATTCTGAGGTTTTATAATATATTTCTTACCTGTTTAGTGCACTTAAACTTGAAGGGGGGCCCTTCAAACACGGCTAGCGTGTTGTCCTCGGACGCGGTCACGATTCTGAAGGGCCTCGCTGGTCGGAAATCAACCGAATTGATTGGTTTCGATTGCCCGCTGATCTCACCCACTGATGTACCAGTCTCAGCCATGAACACGTGACCGAAACTAAAATGTTAATCATTAATTATATAAATGGGGATTTATACGAGATTCCTTTACGGAAAAAATACTTGATTTCTATGAATATAAACCGAACAATTTCTACATATCGCACTGCTAGATCTAAAGAGAGCTAACTCAAAAAAATCCATTTTAGAGTTATGCTTACCATCGATTTCCTTATCGTAATACCTATCGACCGATAAAACAAACTTTAAAATTATTGCTGCTACTTGACGCTAGATGCCGTTAGAAGTCTTTTTTGTTGACCGAGCGGTGCCCCCTCTTTCCCCACCAACACGGGGATATTGCGAGTTGCCAACGTTAATGAGAGCGGAGCGTACGTACGTTTGGTTGACTAAGTGGAGTTATTTTGAATTGTATCCGTATTGTTGAAATTTGATTGAGTATTATTTCGAGTTGTCGCCATTTTGATGATTGAAATCGCGTAAACTTAAACAACATTTTGAATTGATTCTGTATTGCTGGTAAGGTGAGTTGATATTTTGTTTTTATTTTGTATTGTTACCGTATTGTTAAAACATTTTTTACTTTCTAGTTGAGCCTGTTTTGTTGAGTTATTTTTTTAACATTTATATTTCTTTAAAAAAAATGTTTAAAATTATATTCTATTGCTTGTGGTAATAGGTATTTTCAGCCCAATATAATTTTAATTTAATCTTGGCCACTTAACTTTTGGTTCCGGTTTTAATGATACATTTTCAAGTTAAAGCTCTTTAGATGGAATCCGCAAAATTAATTTGATTTACATAGTTCAGAGGAGGAGAAACGTTAAATTAATAGCTTTTGTAATGGATTTGGCTCACAAGATGCATTTTATATTTCAGAAAAATGATGAGCCGTGGACGAATTTTAGTTAATATGGTAGAAGGAAGAGATAAAGAAAACGTGACCCCTCCTCCTGTCGTACACGCTCACAATGAGACACTTGAACCAACCGTTGAAGTTGTAGGCGAGCCTATCCCGAGCACATCCAAACAACAGGAGCATGGTCCGTTCTATTATATTTCACCAATACACAGCGATGAAAGTGTTATTGATGACTCCGACACAGATCCCACTTTCCGAGTCGTTCCTAAAGGTAAGACCTTGCCTAAAGTTGTGCCATCATCTTCAAATTCGTCCAGCACCAACACTAGCTCCTCGAGTTCGTCATCTGGTGACAGTTCGTCATCTTCTGATAATTCGTCGGACACCGAAAATGGTACAGAGCATGAAGACCCTCAACGTGTTGTGGCTGCTGAAATTATTAACCAAGATCCTGTGATAGAAAAAAGAAGTAAAAAGAGAGTACGCAAACCAGCGAATTGGAAGTTTAAAGTTGCAAAAGTGCTGCGAAATTCAGGCAAAGCCTACCAGTCTTCGTCGAAATCTAAAAAAGAAGTACCGGAAAGAAAAGTAGGCCCCCCCTGTGGAGAAAAATGTCGGCTCAAATGCAAAGATAAGATCAATGAAATGGCAAGACAACAACTCTTTCGTGCATATTGGGGACTCGGCAATCTTGAAAGGCAGAGAGAATTTATAGTAAGACATTCACAAGAAATAAAGCCTAAATATCGGTACTCGAGTACACAAAACGTAAGAGCACTTAATACTGCCTTTTATTTTGAGGTTGATGGATCTAAAATTAGAGTATGCAAGCTGTTTTTTAAATCCACCCTTGACTTGAGCAATAAAGCCATAAAAACGGCGTTTTCCAAGAAAACGGAAACAGGAGTTATTCTGGCTGACTTGAGAGGAAAACATGACCATCATCCAACTATTGATCCTCAAGTTAAACAGAGCGTTATAGATTTTATAAATGCTATTCCAAGGGTTGAATCTCACTACTTAAGGGCGCAAACCACAAGAGAATATATTTCAAGTGATAAATCATTAGCTGATATATATAGAGATTATAAACGACTTCGTGAAGAGGATGGTTTACCCTTTGCTACGTCTTCCACATTCAATAGGATATTCAACACTGAATTTAACATTTCTTTCTTTATACCTAAAAAAGATTTATGTGATCTGTGTGAACGGTACAAGAACTCAGATGAAGAAGAAAAGCGCAAATTGCACCAAGAATATGAACAGCATATAGAAGAAAAAACTTTGGCAAGAACTGAAAAAGAAAAAGACAAAAATAGAACCGATGGTACCATCACTGCTGTTTACGACTTGCAAGCAGTTTTGCAGATTCCAAAGGGACAAGTTTCCTTATTCTTTTATAAATCTAGGATCAACTGCCTCAATTTCACAATCAGCGATCTAAGGGCAAAAGATGTCATCTGCTACTTTTGGGATGAAACCGAAGCAAAGAGAGGAGCGGTTGAAATTGGCAGCTGTATACTTAACTATATTAAATCTCAGGTAGATCAAAATCCTAACAAAGAATTAGATATAATTTTCTACTCCGACAATTGTGGCGGACAACAAAAAAATAAATATCTGTTGTCTGTCTATGCCTATGCTGTGAACAAGTTGCCAGTCAAGTCTATTACTCACAAGTTTTTAATACGCGGACACTCCCAAAACGAAGGCGATAATGTTCATAGTGTGATAGAGAAACAGATCAAAAGATATTTGCAGTCGGGTCCAATCTACATACCAGAGCAATACAAAACTTTGATTGGTACAGCAAAGAAGACGGGAAAACCTTACACAGTCATAGAAATGACCCACAATATGTTTTATGACGTCAAAGTATTGCAAGAATCATGGGGCACCAATTTCAATATAGACGAGGACAAAAATCAAATCAAATGGCATGAGATAAAGATTCTCAGAGTCGAAAAAGAACACCCAGAAGAGTTTTTCTACAAAACATCTTTTGCAGAAGAAGCTTTTAGGAAAACTTGCGTTCGAAAAAGAGTTCTCCGAGCAAGAGGAACTGGGACAGCTACTGATCAAACGATTTTTTCAATTGGTTTAACACAGGCATATACTGAGAAAATTGCATTGTCGGATGCAAAAAAGAAAGACATAAAAGAATTGATAGATAAGAACGTTATTCCAAAATCCTATTATGAAGTTTATTATAAAGGGGTTCTAGGTGATCTGGGTAATTAACTTTTTATTGCTTTTATTTAATTATTCTTCTTCACTCTTCACGGTATTTCCCCTTTAAAAGGGGGTAACCAGAAACAGCCCCGCAAAAGAACAAGAAGTCACTAATGCGGTGCAGTTCACTTTTTGCTTCCATGGGCCTATTAATGGTGTTGTTAGAGCATATTGAATAGCGATTAGTCGCAAGCTAATCGCCTGTACATGTAAATGCTGTTATGACCGTCTCTTAGTCGCCTTTTACGACACCCAGGAAGAAACGGGGGAGTGATATTCTACTCTGCCGTACACCCCACGGCTGAATTAATTACTCAGAAGTTAAATATGATTTTAAGTAAGATACTTAACTGTGATTTTAACAAACGGTGATCTCAAAGTGCCATTACATAATTGCATTTAAATAGTATTAATTAGTTTTGATTATAATTAAGAGTAATGTGTTTTTTAATTTTGAAAAATGTTTAGAATTGTTTTTTTAAGAACAGAAGGTTCCTATTTCTGTGATTTATTTTTGTACTTAGTCTTCTATAACTAAGAGATACAGACTGTTGATTGTTAAAGAATTATTAATAAAGAAATTTAGTTTGATTTGTACCTACTAAATTGTGTTTTCTTACTAATCTATCACCCAATAAACCCGTACTGCTGGTCGCAGACTGCGCTATGAGTTGTACTCATTTATAAATATTACCAAATGCTATTACATTTTTAAGCATGTTGACTTTTCAAAAGGGAGTCAACTCAAAACCAAATTTATCAAAGTAGGTTCAACTCTAAATAATTATAAAATTTACACGTGTTTGTTAAGTAATAGGGAGATAACTCAAAAATTCCTATTTTCACCCCCAATATAAGTCTGTATCACAATATTGCTCTATCATGTTTCTTCCAGTTCCACTTGTATTATCACAGACTAATAAAGAACCCATCTGCAGTACAAAGTTATAGCATAATCAGTTTTTCGCCTGTTCTGAAAAATATGCTTTTTCGAGTTAACCCTGTTTAGATCTAGGTGTGCGATATATTCGACATAGAAATATATAAGTATTCCTAAAATCAGAAATCTTTTAATTTAAATAACATAAAGTACACGCGTAAATAACGTTATAAAATTTGATTTTGATTTGTTTGATAACAAAAATCTGAAAATCATCATCACAACATAACTGGAATCGAACTTCAACTATCAAAACATATGTAAGTCATTATAACTACTGAGCTAATAGTCGCAATTCAGTTTTTACTATACATGCATTGAAACCAGATAAAGAAGATCTCTACCACTGCACTTGAAAATCACCAATTCTCTCAAATCCTACTATATACTATATTATACATAATTGCGAAAGTTTGTGAGTGTGTGTGAATGTTTGTTACTTTTTCACGCTCAAACGGCTGAACCGATTTTGAAAAAAAATTGTATACAGGGAGCTGAGGTCCAGGAATAACACATAGGTTACTTTACATCCCGGAAATCCGCGGGTAGCACCGCGGGGCGCAGCTAGTTTCTATATAATTCTCACCGTTCCCTTCCTTCGCCAGCGACTACCATACGCTGGCTATCAGCACTCCATGCAATATCCTTGATAGGTCCACCGATTGGTTGGAATTCATTCTTCAGAATATGTTCCTTGTTCACAGTATCCCATATACGGACTTTGCCGGACACATCTGAAAGTTTTGGACGAATTTGATGAATTGAGTCATAATTTTAGATTATACAGGGTGACTGGTGAATTACTATCAATATTTAAGGAGAATACTCGGTACATGATTCTCATTCGAATTATGTAAAAAAAAATAGGTAGTTAATTTTTGACCAAATTTCCGTATAAATAAATAAAGCGTGGGCACGTACCAAGGGTTCCAAGTGTGGACGCGTGCGGCGGCGTGCTGATACAACACTACGCCGCCACACGCGTATGTGTGTGTATACCTAATCTGTAGGGTGTTCACACGATGCGTAATTAATTACATAACTTTTGGTTAACTTTACTTAAAAGTTTATTAATATTTATGTTATATTAATTTTTATTTCGTCATATATGATCGTCAAATATCACGTCCTAAAGTATTGATAGTAATTCACCAGTCACCCTGTATAAGGAAATGTCTCCAATTAAATGTACGAAACATATGTTACAGTTATTGCGAACAACCAATCTATAGGTCATAATGATTACTTCTTATATTTCAATGTAGAAATTTAGAAAAAAATTATATATGTATTGACTATTAGACATCAGTACTTTTACGTCTATGTCTATTTAAAAACCATCAAATTTATTTATAGCATTTATTACTAACTCAGATATTATCACACCCAACTATAGCGAATAACCATTATTATAAGTAGACAAATCAAACACACAATTTTGGAAACTTCCAAGATTCCCAAAAACTTATTATGGTCTATCAATATAATATATATTATTTCGCAAATGAGTCAGAATATTTAACTATAGACATTACCAAATATATTTAACATTACAACCGAACAAATTACTTCCCTATACGAAAAACAAACAATTATTATACATCTGTATGCCTTATTTTCATAGGTTAAGGTCCATTTTGCTGTACCAAAATAACTTGGCACGATCAACAGATGTCAACATACTAAAGGAGAGTCTTATCGTAAATAATATGTGTTTGTTACTACTAACTGAACGCAAACAACGAGATATTAATAAAATATTAAAGTATATTAAATTGATAATTAATCCCTACTGATGTTATAAATGCGAAAGTAACTCTGTCTGTCCGTCTGTCTGTTACGCTTTCACGCCTAAACCACTGAACTGATTTTAATGAAATTTGGTTCAGATATAGAGTTGACCTTGAGAAAGAACATAGGATAGTTATTATCTCAGATTTTTGAAAGATTCTCTTGGAAACGCGATATAACCGAACTTCACGCGGGCGAAGCTGCGGGCGGAAATCTAGTTGCATAATAATTCCTATCAGTCAATGATTGATTAGTTTATCTTTTTTTTATAATTGCATTTTAACTGCTATCGTAAAACTTGTTCAAAATTTAAATGAAACTTATATTTTCGGATTTATTACGCGATTTTTTATTTTTGATTATAAACTACATACTCCCGACGTTTCGGCTACTTTTCAGCAACCGTGATCATTAAGACAAGATGTGAGAATGACTACTCGCGAAAATCTTAGATCTCATTACTGTTAACAACTTTGAATACAGTGCCAAATCACTTTTTTTCTAGATACACAACTCTCTGTGTGATTGTCATTTACTATTATTATAAGAGTAATAACAATTTACTGAATAGTGTCTGCTAGAAATGAATTAATCCACGATACAGGCCTAGCGTTTTTTACAAAGAAATAAATAAAATCACGATACATCCATCGTACGTTATAATTTGGTTAATATAAATGTATATATTACAGTTATAAAAAATTGTAAATTATTCCATATCCGAGTGATTATTATCTGAGTGTTACTGCATTGCAAAAAATACATCTAAAAGATTTAAAAGTAGTTTTATATTTAGGTGGGTTGTTTAAAGCTGAAACTTTTTTAGCTACTTTCTATACTTTTGTTTCTTAATTAGAATAATAATAATATAAAAAAATAAGCATAATTACAGTTAAAAATTAATATCACACAATCAAACTTAAACGTTATTGGAAGTCGTCAAAAATGGCTAACAATATGCAAAGGTCAACGACCCGAGCTCAGTCGTTTCGCTCAGTTGGCTGCGAACATTTTTCCCTTTAATTTTTTTTCGCTATAAAACATCATTTTGCGTGAAAGTTAAAAACCCCAAAGAGTTTAATTTAGAAAATGTCATTCATTACCTTTTGTTCGTTGAACCTAAATGTATATTTTAAAATATCAGAGGCAATATTTTGTGGACGTTTAAAAATTAATAGTTGATATATGTAAGCAAATAATAATACTATTTTATTCGAAAAAAATAACAATAATTTTAAAGAAACTCCGAGTATAGACTATTCGTGCTTTAAAATAAAAACTAGTAAAAGAATTATTATCAATATTGAATCTACCTATATACATATATGCATACACAATAATCTTCGAAAGGATGCAACTTAGTAACAGTAGTCCATCTTATTTTCAAGTATTCAAATATAGCGAATCATACAAAATATATATTTATTATGAAACTTTGATACCCAAGATTTAATCTCAAACTTGGATGAGAGCCAGCATAAACTATGTTTAGACTTTGCATTAGTATATTGTGTGTTTAAGCGGCTGTAAACGAGAAATCTTGTTTTAAGCACTGACTCTAGTAGTAAAAGATATTTAAAGATTAAAATATTCAAAGTTCAAATTAGTAAAACAATATAAGAAATCACTTTGATGACTGGAATATGTCAAATATATATCATATCAGGAAAACAGAAAAATATAGATATTTCAATGAGACGGAGCCTCTCATCATTCAATGTATTCACGGTGCGTGTGTCGGGTCCATCGTTGTAGAGAGAGGAGCTTCAACAGTGACTTGGACTTGCGACCCAGGTGTAGGTTTAAGGGGCCCAATCTAATGCACATTTGTACCAATTTGTGTACATATCTTATTAACTTTTTTATACTATTTTAATAACAAAATATATTATGCGATTTAAAATTTTTAGTATCACTATTACAAGTTCCTGACTCTATATAAATGAATCAAGATTAAACAACTTCGCATATAAATATATACACCCTGTATAGTTCGCATCACATAGAAAATTAAATCATAGTAATTAACTAATTAAAATAACCGTTAACGATTCAAATGAAACTAAGTTCTTAGGATACTGCGTGTTTTTATTATAATGACGAGAATTTTATCTCGTTTGCCTTCATCACTATTAATGTAAAGGAACGGAAACTTCAAGATTATGTAGATACAAAATGATATAAAATACATAGTATCAGAAAAACTAAGTTTAATTTAAATATCCCTACTAATATTATAAATGCGAAAGTAACTCTGTCTGTCTGTCTGTTTGTTACGCTTTCACGCCTAACCCACTGAACTGATTTTAATGAAATTTGGTACAGACATAGAGTCGACCTTAAGAAAGAACAGGATAGTTTTTGTGCCAGACTTTTGAAAGGTTCTCTTGGAAACGCGATATAACCGAACTCCACGCGGGTGAAGCTGAGGGCGGAAAGCTAGTGTACATATAAAATCTTATATACCATTACTGATAAAATATCTTAAACGATTAACAAGAATGAAAAAAAAACTTCGTCGTTCGATTAAAATATCAATTCTCTTTAAAATTACCGATGCGTTATAAATCTTTACACGCGATTAGTTCGGGGACAAAAACCGGTAAGTGAAATCACACATGACTTAGCAAAAAATCGATAAACTTAATTGACATTGACTTTAATAAAACACTTATATGGCAAGACTGTTTTAATGTACATATATATAAAAATATGAACAGCATTATTATTTATTTTATATTCATATCTTCATCGTTTTCATCTACCTATCAGAGCCCACTGTTGAGCAAAGGCCTCTTCTCACGTGGAAAAATTTTGAGCATTAATCACCACGCTTGCTCAAGACAGGTTGGTGATTTCAACATATAATTGGGTTATTGTAAGTCCAGGTTTCCTCACGATATTTTCCTTCACCGTCTGTCAGTGGTGTCTAAATAATCTTAGAAAGTACATATGACTCGGTAAAATCACATTGGCACTTGCCAGGATGGAACCCTCAAATGTTTGATAAGAGGGTACTAAATAAGCTATATTTAACGGTAAATAATATTCTATCCAACAACTCTAGAATGGAATAAAAAACTATTAAAATTATTATATTTATGTATATCTCTCTAAAATTAATTTGTACACGGGGGAATTAGGAGCGAGAGATAACAGCCAAATCTCTCTACAACCTACTAAAAAACGTTAGAGCCTGTAAAGAACTACTATGAATCCATTCTTGGAACGCGCGTCAAAGGCGGCCATATCAGGTTCGTTTCAAATTTGGTTAGGTAGAGAGAGGAGCTTGCACGGTGGAGGTGAGTGTTAGATAGGGGCCCCTTAAACTTACACCTGGGTCGCAAGTCCCAGTCACTGTTGAAGCTCCTCTCACTACAACGATGGACCCGACACACCGCACCGTGAATACATGTATTATTATTTAAAACATCATTGTACAATGCACATGTAACAACCTCTTTCTATTATCAGAAGGGGAGAGTTATTTTTATAATTCCTATAAATTATATATAAAACTATTAATCCAGAAATATATCCATTAAAAAAAATATTAATTCAATTCAATGTTATAATTATTACTAATATTTAATATGATAAACTTTTAGTAATTTATCTACAGATATTGAAGTGACAAATAAATTAAATAACTCATTAATTTATAGAGATTTTTCCATAATCCATAAATATTAGTTTTAATTTTTTTTAACAGTGACACTTTTTGAATACGTTTTTGGGACTTTCTGTATTTAATTGTTATTAATTGACCATAGAAATAATTTTACTGTATGTTTATTTTATGATGAATTATAATATACCAAGTAAAATTATACCAAAAAAAGTATATGAATCTTTTTACACTACATAAAGTTTACTAGTACTCAACAAAGTATGAACTATTTATAACACTTATTACAGAAATTCATGAACAGAGCTTTGGCAAAAACTAGTCATACATATTCCACCAAAATTATTATCACTCATATAAATTTTACTAATTGTAGAAAACTATATAACTAAGAAAAACAATATTCTATCCAATTTTAAACATACAAAAAGGGTGTTAAAAAATGTAGTTAATGTTCGATAAAATTAAAGAAGAAATAAAATAATGTTACTAGTTTTAAAAAAAAATTAAATGACATCATTGCAAACTTAGAGTGTAATATACTAAAAAAAAGTTTATATATATATAGTGTTTTGTATGTCCTATCTTATCTTAATAATTAATCAATAAAAGATAAACAGCGATTCACTCAGGTAAAGGTAAGTACTTATATGGTCATGTTGCTATGACTCATAAGATCCTTACTTATTACTTATAAGGTAATAATGTCAAGATCCGTTTATGCATATTATATGTCTTTAAATGATTTATAAATTAACATAAGTAAAAATCTATTTATAGAATTAAATTAAGTATAAAGATAGACTAACATAAAATCATAAAATCATTGTAAAATCATTTGGTTGTATTATTATAAACTATTAGCCACTAGCTGAGATTAATTAATAAGATAAATATAAATTTTTGTATTCAAATTATTCCATTTTTATCACTTGTTTGAATTTATTGATAAAATAATCCCTACTAATATTATAAATGTGAAAGTAACTGTCTGTCTGTCTGCCTGTTATGCTTACACATCTAAACCACTAAACTGGTTTTAATTAAATTGGGTTCAGAGATAGACAAGACCTTGAGAAAGAACATAGGATAGTTTTTATCCCAGACTTTTGAAAGGTTCTCTTTGAAACTCAATATAATCGAAATCCACGCAGGTGAAGCTGCGGGTGGAAAGCTAGTATTAAGTATAAAGATAGACTAACATAAAATGATTGTAAAATCATTTGGTTGTATTATTATAAATTCTTAGCTTCTGGTCATAATTAATAAAATAAATTTTAATTTCTATATCCAAATTTTCTATTTTTATTACTTGTTTAAATTTATTCACAAAATAATAAGTTATAATTCTATAATGAATGTTGTATTTTTGTTTGAAGTAATATGATCATATATTAATAAGTTTACTATATCACAAGATACAGACGTATGCATTTACATGTATGGATAAAATATTTAAACTAACCAACTGAGGGTAATTTCAATATCTTGAAGCTCACAAAATGTCAGTTATGTCGTAGATATAGTTTTTCCTGTATTTTGTTAATATTGTATGGTTTAATGATTTTCAACAACAGGAAAACGAAAATAAATTTTAATGTTTTTTGTTATTTACTAACAATTATACAATATGATAACTTAAAATATTCAAAAGATCTCAACATAGGAACTGTAGGTTATTTGAAGCATCTAAAAAATGTTACTTATTGGAAAGTAAGTTAAATTATGAAAACCACACTCACCTCCAGAGGCGATGTAAAAGCCACTCGGCGAGTACTTGGCGACGTTAACTTGACACGAATGTTCGGTGTATACATCAGATATCGCCGGATTTTCTATATCCCTAATAATTACCGAATTCCCATTCGTATACAAAAAATGCTTCCCTTTAGGATCACCTCCCAACACTAAAGGCGTACCGCGCTGTGTTCTCGGCAAAGCCGCAAACGTATACTCTGTAAATACCAATAACTTTCATGATAATCATAGAACGATACAGATTTCACTTTTACGAATCCGGGCGGTGCACACCACGATTTTTAATATATATAAACCCACTCACTATTAGAATATGACATATTTAATCCCTTTTACACTGAGGATCGTGATAGTTATAGCTAAACTAAGTTTTTACTAGTACTTAATAATTTAAATAGGAATACAAAATCAGCCGCTATCACCCATAGCCCAGCTTCACAAAAAAATGACGTGAATTGTGACGTATTATAAGTTGAATAGGAACGTACAACCGGGAATCAGAATCGTGAAATTGATAATTAATCGATTAAAGTTTTTTTCTCTGTCTATAAATAATGAGATTGTGAATGTGAGTCCCTTGATAATTATTGTGTAAATTTTGTTTTTTATCAGTTATACAACACAGTTTAAAAATTGGAAATATTCAGCTTTTATTTTGAATCATTCTAAAATCGATACCAAGTAGGTATCGGATTTAAAGAAAAGACACATCTATTTTATATTATTAAGTTGGTACTCTGTTGTTTGACTGAAATGCCAAATGCCCATATATGGCGTTCTGTTCAAAACAGTCTTGCCATCCCGATGTAAAACTTACTAAAATATTGTTTTTGCAATTAACATGTTTAACGATATATTTGAATACATATTACTAATTGCATTTTTAAATTCATTGAATTATTTTTGTGTCATTTTATAAACTTCATGTAATAAAAAAATTCTAGTTTGTATTAATAAACTAATCTGATGGAAATATTAAATAAGGATACAGAGAAAGAAACTTACATTTTTTTTAGGAAACATTTTTCAATTATATAGCAAAAGTTTCACACATTATATAATTACGAGGGCAGAGTGCAATTATTTTAACTTTAATATTATTTTATTTCAGAAGCGGCTTCGAATTAAATATTAAAACTAAAGTTGTTCAAAATTACCTATGGTTAATTTGACACCTGTCAGTTTGTCACCTTTTTTTCAATTTGTCTTGAGTTGAACGTCAAACTCATTCCGTTCTCAGTAGCTCAGTGAGATGCATGAAACGTAGTAGCAGTGTCACGAATGTCTCGAACATTGCATCATGATCGTTAAAATTTTCACATATGTTGCATGTTCTGCATCTATCGAGTGCATAGTCTAGACGTTTTATTTGGATTAGTGAATTTTTGGTGTTTAATTTTAGCTGTGATATATATTTTTTTGACATTTGTGTCCACGTGGTGCATTGTCAGAAAGGGTCTACGTGTTGGTTCTTTCACAAGAATTGTGCTTAAATTGTAGTCTTAAAACAAAGAAATGGATTCCTTGAATATGTCGAAGCTAAATTTGTCGAGCGTCCGAAGCACTGTAAACGATAATGCGTCTAAACAGGACATTTGCCAAACAAAGTTTGAATCAAATGTGAGTTGAAGTATGTTTTGGATCTAAAGCAATATTGTAAAAGTTTATGTATTAAAAAAGCAATTAAACTATATTAAGAGTACGTATGTGATATGAAAAGTATAGAATTGTCGATTAAAAAAAAACACCATGTTCTGTCTCAAGGTTAAAGAATTATTTAACTTTCCTAATACAAATACAATAGTAGATTGCGTTAATAGGAAAGGCATTGAAACTTTTTGCTTAAAATCTTTATTTTTAATTATTCCTGGCAATTAAATAATAAAAAAATATATTACAGGTATTAACAGACCCCGATGACGAGCATTATTGTGAGTACCGTGATGAGATTTGGAAGAATCTTTTGGAGCAAGACGCTGAAAAGCCAATCATACACCTTCAATCACCACAAGTAAGTATAAAAATACTTGTACATCACTAAAACCAAATTACTAGTTATAAAACATTGTTTCTACCGATAAAGTTTTTTGTATCTTTAATATAAAATTCTAAATTAACTTGAAAATTACTTGACAACAGCTGAAAATTGATAAGGAATATTAATATGGTACACATTTCCTTTATTAATGTTTTATTGTAATTTAATAGATTAAAATTTTTGTCTGCATTTTTAATCACACATATATTTTTTATCACCAATATTAGACTATAAATAAATCACAATAAAATTTTCATGTGATACTACAAATAATATAAATTTCAATTTTAATAAATATATGAAGTTTAAAAATTAACTTGATAAATGATAAATTTTATTTCTGATATTCAATATATATTCTGAGATTTTGTCAAAGCGCCTTTCAAATTTGTCTTGATCAAATCTAAAATATTTGTTAATATCAATAGAAAAAAAAAGATGACATATATTAAAATTAAAAACCCATATATATTAATTATCACTTAATTATTATACTGGTATCTATGAAACAATCGAAAAATAGTATGAAAAAAATCCTTCACATCATTTTCAAAATGAACCAAAACTCTTACTCTACTAAATCTTTATTAAACAAACATATCTAATTATCATTATATGGAAATTTTCTTTCTAAATGATAAAAATCAAAAATTATTATTTATTTTCAGACCTACAATGTCACAGACCAAAACATTAACTCAGTTCAAACATAACACTCTTTTTCATACAAGGTTAAAAATAATATTAAAGATTTTATATCCGGATAAAAACAATTTCTATTACATACCTTTCACATCGCTATCAAATTATCTATTGTCTTTTTACAAATTAGAGATATTTGATTTAAAGTAATTTGTAAATTACACAAAGTCGTTTTATCTAATCATTTACATAAGTCTAATTGTAGTCATGTAATTAGTTTTTTTGTTAAACTATTTAATATTTTTCTAATAATAAACAGATTAAATATTTAACTATCATTAAAATTGCTTAAATCTTTTATTAATACTCAATATAGGTAATTGACATTATTATTTAGACAAACTCAGTTAATTTTTAAAAATACCTTATTAAATTTAGAAAAATTAAGAATAACCAAAAATATATAGGATTTTTATTGTTTAAATTTATATATCGAATTTTATTTTGTATATATATATATAAGTTAGGATTTTAAATATCAGAAAAATTCTTGTACATTTATACACCAAATAGCAAAGTTAATTTCATCAATATATATCAATGTATTCTCGAATGAGGCTAATAATATAAAAAAATATTACTAGAAAGTAAATGTTACACAAAATATGTATAACATTGCCATATATTATGCAATAAATATTGCTTAAGGTAATGAAATATTTTTAAAGTGATATTTAATTATTTAATTGATTCTATAATATAGAAATAAATAATTATTATTATTAAAGTATGTGTAAAATTATAAAATTTGTTTTTTACAATGATTGGGTGAATTTTCAGACATTGTATTAATTGAAATAGTTTATATTTAATAAAAATAAATAAATAAATGTCTTAGTAGATTTTGATAAAAGTAACTTTTTTTAAATTGATAAATTATTTTAATAAGTTACTTGTTAGTGACATACATTTCGTATGATAATTTTTTAAAAAGCAAACGAATTGTTGTTTGAAAAAATATTATCTTTACACAGTTACATATTACAAATTCTTTATATATATACACATTACTTTACATATCAAATCCACATTTAGTGTTACCTTTGTTTCATTATGCAATTATGATGCAATAATTGCATCTCATTTAACAATGCTTCATTAGACAATTTAACATCGAAACGCAATTGAATTGATGGATTTGAAAATAAAGGATTATCTGTAAAACCATTTGTGAAGTAATATCGATGCACTTAACAGTGCATCGAGTACAGGTGGCACTTCACTTGGCGTTTATTTGTTGTGTTCGGCCAAATAAGACCATGTGTGGAGGATTTATTCGTCTTCATTTGACATATTTGCACAAATAAGACACATACACAAATAAGCAAAACGCGTAGACTCGTTGTATGCATGCCAAATGTGGATGTCGTGTTTGCGCTATTTGGACTACGTACAAATATTTGGACAAATGTGGCGTATATACGTGTCATTCAAATTCACCTCGTAGTCTCGGCAGTTGGAAATTTAGATAAGCAATTAACAAGTACAAACGTGTAAATTAATTGTATTCAGAACAATTTTTCGACAGCGAAATTTATATTTTATTGTAACATGTTTTTATATTATTTAAATAAATTTTTAATATCTGCTTATAATCACCAAATACAAACGGTTGTTGTAAATACTTTTGTGTTTGTCGTTGTAAAAAAGTTCCCTACTCGTGACTAATCAGTTCATCGCATTTTTACGAAAAAAATATAAAAAAAAACTATTGAAATCCGTTTATATGTTATAACGATAATGAAAACATTGCTTAATTAGGAATTTTTTTTTTGAAGATTCGTATCTAAAATCTAAAGTTTGTCTAAAATATAACAGTACGTCTTGGATGTCAATGGAAAATTAAGTGTAGTTAAAGTTTATATTTTTTTTTTTTTTTTTATGTTAAAAGTGGCAAACGAGCAGACGGCCCACTTGATGGAAGGTGGTTACCGTCGCCCATGGACATCCGCAACACCTTTGTTGCGGATGCGTTGCCAACGTTACTTGTGGAGGAAAAGGGAGGGGTGGGAATAAGAAAATACAAGGAAAGGTTGGGAAAAGGGAAAGGGCAACCGGCTCTCTCACTCATCGGACGAAACGCAGTCATTACTGACTACTTCACGCCGATCTTCTGTGCGAGGGTGGTACTTCCCCGGTCGAGCCAGCCCATGTTCGAGCTGTAGTAACTTAACCACAGCTAGGCTCTACCACCTCCAATATATATATTTTTTTTAAATTAAGTTAATACACTAAAAAAAGAATTATGTACAACAACGCGATGTGAACCTACGATTCGTGGGAGACAGCGTCCAGTCACTTTTCCATTTGAACTATCGCGTCAATGTGAGTTTCTTAAATCGAAATGTTTTATAAATCATTGAAATCATTTCTAGGTTTAACATACATATACTTCATCAAAAGTCAGCTTCAACGAGGAAAAACGACCTTTTATTTGCTAGAATGTCTCTTGCATAATAACTTAGTGTATATTAAACCAAAAAAAATTTTTATTTAAAAATGACGTGTCCTCATTTCCTCGTGTCATTTAATTCTATACGTCGTCACTTAAGAAACTATAAATCAAAAAGCAATGTATATGTAATCTCTTGCATTTCTTAAATGTTTTAATTTCTTACAAGTTCGTCGTAACAGAAAAATAAATAGTTAGCCAATATCAAATTGTAATAAAAAATAAACCACTATAAAAACAAATAACCAAAACCACTATAAAAATAAACCACAATAATAATAATGCATATTTCCAGTTGGAGTTCCGAGGCGCTTTAGTGCAACAGCTGCGTGACGTCACAAAAAAGCTTGGGCTAACTGTGGCGACCTTACACTCGGCTGTGGCTCAGCTAGACTTGTTCATGGACGCTCACAGACTCAGAGCTGATAGACTGACGCATGTGGCGTTGGCCTGCCTCAGTCTAGCTGGTAATTATAAGTCTTACTAGCTTTCGCCAGTTTCGCTCGCGTGGAGTTCAGTTATATCGCGTTTCCAAGAGAACCTTCCAACAGTCTGGGATAGAAACTATCCTGTTCTTTCTCAAGGACAACTCTATGTCTATACCAAATTTAATTAAAATCAGTTCAGTGGTTTAGGCCTGAAAGTGTAACAGACAGACAGAGTTACTTTCGCATTTATAATATTAGTAGGGATTGTTAGTGTAAAGCTTAAAAACGTACTTAGTCATAGCTTGAATTTACATTTAAATTATATTTTTTTATAAGTGAAATTTTCGCTAAGTTTATTGGCATTTTAAACTGACATTTAGCACTCTGAAATAAATTGAAAACAACCAGATATATAAAAATGATTCATTTTTTTATTAAAAATATCGATAGTTATGAAATGTTACATATAAAATATTTTTCCTTCGAAACCTTAAAACTTTGGGTTTTATTTTGTGGATCTTGAATTCATCATACTAATGCACAATCAACGCGTTACCAAACAAATCAATGATTCATACCAAAAACCAACGTAGTGCAAAAACATTTCAAAATAGTACCAAATAAACGAGTTAGTGTATAACCAAATGAAAGATTTATCCCAAAATCTATACAAAAAATACATATAAAGGCCCAAAATTGTTTCATCACAGCAAAAAACGAGGAGAAGATCAGCAGAGCGCCAACCTTGAAGACATTATCCAAAATAAGCGGTGTTCAGCTATGTGGGAAGACGTTCAGGCAGTTAGAATGGATGGTCGGACAGCATGTAAGGTGGAGGCTCTGGCGCCAACGCCCGTAACTTTTGCAGCATTGCTAGCTCAATACGTCATCACAGACAGTGATTTAACAACGCGACATCCCAAATTCGTGAGACGCTTCAAACGCGATGGTGCCAAGTACTCGAAGCGTATTTGGATTTGACATTATCAGGTTGGTTTTATATTGAGATTGATGTAATAATTTTTGTTTTGATTGTAATTTCTTTAAAGGTATCTAAACAACCTTTTAAGTTTATTTTTTTTAACTAGTTACTTGTCAGTTTCCTAGAAGGGATTTTCAATTGAGATGATTTGAATGAGGCGTTTATTAAACCTTAAAAATTACTAGCAATTATTTGACAGAGCTCACCCACTATGAGTTAATTTGTTAAAATGTCTATCTCAAGTTACTATTAAAATCTTAAACATGCATATATACATTTACAAATATATATTCTATTGTTTTTAGGAGTTCTGAAAATTTTCATAACATTATTCTTAATAGTGCTTCTGCTCTATTTAGTACTTTAAAAGGTAACAATAAATCATATATTTCCAGATGTCCGTCTAAAAGTAGTAGAGTGTGTGGACGTGGGGTGTGCGTGTGTGGCGTGCGCACGCGCAGACCTGGGGCTGTCAGCGTGGCCCGCCTGGCTCGCCGGGCGCTCAGGACGAAGTCACGCGCATGTAGCGCCTATAGCGAGGCTCTTACAGAGGTAGGAACAATATATATATATATACCTACATGAGAAATATTAAAGGGAGCATATGAATTGATAATACATTTTTTAAGTTTGTAGTCACTATGTAGGTTAAAATGTTATTATTGTTGTAAACATCCATGAAAAGAATCAAAACGGTAATAAATTTAATGATTGAATATATAGATGTCAAATTAATTAGACTTATTTCACAATGTATTATTTATTATCCTTTCACTGTAAATTGTGTTTTGCAGTCAAGGTTTATATCAAATGTTTCATATAATGTACAGTAAGGAAACATTTTCTTTCAATTTCATGAAATTAATAATTTCTGTTACATTGTTTTTTTATTATACATAAATATAAAAACCATACATACATATGATGATAAAAGGCCGAAAAGACTGACAGTTGATATCCCATTAGGTCGATATCCTTTCAAATGTTTATACTAAAGAAGCGTAAACCTGATTCAATCAATCACAATATCGACTCAAACATCATAGTAACCAATTAATATTTTTATATATATACAGGATGATGCAGATATTGAAATCTCGTGAGGCTGGTGATTCAGAAATCGACCAAGGATACAGCAGTGCAAGAACATCCCCAAATATAACACCCTGTACATCACCACAGTATCAAATATCACCGGCTTCGAGCACATGCAGTACTTCATCTAGAAGTTACTTGAATGTGGACACTTCATATCGCCAACGGCCAGTAAGGCAAGAAAACCCGTATGCTGTACTAGACTTAGATAATAATACACCGATATTACCAAACCACGATTACTATATACCAACCATAGAGAACTGCCAACGAGTAAATAATCCATCTGATTATAGATATTGTAGGGCTAGTAGATTAATTGATTATGATGGTCAGCAATCTACAAGTATGGCTGTGAAAAGAGGTCTAGATGGTAACGTAGATTTAGATAGGAAACGGTATCGGCTGACGTCACAAATGTCACAAGTCGTGCTCTGATCCTGTCAATGTCAAAACTGTCATAGACAATTTTTTTTTTTTGATTCGAAGGCAACTAAGAATTAGCTTGGCTGTATTTATATCATACAATGGCTGTATGTATTAGATATATTGTTACAACAGGACCATCACAAGATTATTTTAATATTTTTTTTTTCGAACCCTCAATTATTCATAGTGCCTGAGATAAATTAAAAATAAAAAGTAGTGAAGGCTTCGCCTTAATATTTATATGAAAGACTATTGTTATAACCTCTAAATACATTTTATATGACGTATTTAAATTTTAGGATTAGTTAGCAACAAATTAATCGTATTCACAACCTTTAGAAACGTACAAATCGACTAGAAAATTTTATTATATAGATAATATAATATTTAATATATGTCATTGAAGAATATTCCGATTTTTTAAGATCCGTTATGTTTGACAAACATAATTCACCATTGAATTGAACAAAAAAGTTTGTTGACCCTCATAAAACAATTTGAAGCATTCTAATTACTATTGAAATAAATATAATGACAATAAAATGTCCACTAAATGTTAATTAAAAGATTTGTTAGTAACATCACAAATAAAAAGTCAATCGAAAGTAATAAAAACAAGTCAATTTTTATATCATGTATATAATATATATTTCTAGTAATGACTGCATAATTTATTAAATAAAATCGTTGTAAGGTTGTGGATTCGACGCGTTAAGACTGTGACGAATGAACATCGGCGTTCCGAGCTTTAAAACGCCCAGTTAGTGAATGTGTAGTTTAAGTCGTTGTTTGTTCGTCTATGTCAGTAATACAGGTTACGATATAACGGAATGATGACTAGATAATCGATTATTATTATTATTATTATACCTAATACGATTAGTGTTAAATATTCGGTTTTATTAAGTCACAGCATTTGTTGATAGTCAAAAGTTTGACATTTGGATTTTTTTTGTACTGAAAATAAAATATAATTTATGTTTTTTTAATATTTGGTAAATTGTGTACTATCTGTATTGGTGATTTTTGTAATAATGATCACATAATGACTTTGAATTGATCATAATTTAACTCTTCACACTTCATTGGTAGCAGACATTTCGTTTTATCGTAATCCTAGTTATTTAAATGTTATAAAAAATGTATATTAAACAAGGTCGTATAAAGCTATAACATATGATATAAGCTATTTTGTATATGAAATGAAAATATCGTGATATACATAGATTTGATATTCCGATCTCGATTGTAACATCAGGGTTGACGCATTATACAATCAAATAAACGAGTAACACAAGTGATCTGCTTTCTTAATATGAATAACAGATAATACTCAAGAACATTCAAGTGTCAACCCTGATGAACTAGCAAATTATTATAGACAATATTTTTGTAATGCTTTCGATAATAAAATCATTGGTATGTACCAGATAATGATTGCCAAAGTGTTATGTAATATTAGTTACTTTTTTTTATTCCTATTTTAGTGTCAACGGTTTATAGGCTGTCTATTTTTAAGACATCGATTGTACTGAACTGTTCAGCGATGGCTTAATGTAGAATAATTTTCTGTAGTATTGTAAATACAGTCACAGTTTCTTATGTCTATTGAAATAATATTTTCCAATTCAGTCAAGAATAATTAATTAATGGGAACTTTGGCTGTATGTAATATGAGAAACAATGTAATAAATTCATTTAAATGCATTTAAATGTATGTTTATTGATTTGAGGGTAATTTTGTTTGCTGATGGCAACATTAACATGTTTCATTGTATTCAAGATACAATTGTTTATTTTTTATGGCCGTTTATTCTAGTGGTTGTGAGCTTGTTCTTATTTATTTTTTTTTAAATATGAATTATGTAACGGATAGTTTGTATTAATTTTTTTTTTGTTATGGAAACTCTTTGGTTTGTAGACAGGGAGCAGTTTTTATGTATGTAGTTCTCATTATTTTCAATTTTGTTCAATAATTGCATGATTTAATTACTTGCTCATGAGTTATTTAATTAGAAATTTATATATGGTCTGCAAAAAACTGCTCTCTTAAACATAATATAATATGATTCTCAACAATTGTTTTTTTCAGCAACATAATTAATTGTTATTCAAAGTTACCAATGTTGAAGTTATGAAGTTTATATGAACTTGAATTCTTATTTTGAATGTTCCGATGTAAGTACAGTTGGCAAAAACTTAAATATGCCTCGATTTGCAAAATAACCTTTTTTTTCTTGCCTGTCTATATATCTGTAATGCTGTTTTCAAATTACGTCTGAACTATTATTCCTTTAGTTTTTTCATTGACTTTTATGCTGACTGTACTTACAAAAGAGTAGAAGGTATTTAGTATATAGCCGCTTCCAATGTATAACATCTGTATCAATAATTTGTAATTTCGACATAACTTCGAACGAAAATTTCATGCGGATGTAATAAAAAAATATTTTTTTTATTTTGACTTTTCTTTATATTAGTCCCATATTCTGTTACACTTTGGCATATACGGAAATCTTGATCATAATTTTACACATTTTCGAGAGTACTAAAAAGTGATTGCATCTAACAAAGATAGGAAACCTAGTCTACTTTGAGTATTTTTCGAATACTTATAAAACAAAATTGTGATTCTAAATATGCCCTTAAGAATAAAACACTAATGAATATATACAATATATTATTTGCTCTTCACAATAAAACATACTCGGTGAAGTTTTTAATTACTATCCAGAAATACCATTCTATATCCTGAGACTAAAACCGTTTCTTGTATATTGGTGCAGTGAAGAAAATCCTTTGGATATGTTAGAACTTATGCGAGTCTATAGACCGCGGTGTCATCTAGAGAAAGTGTAGGTAGGCGAGGGGGTCGGCGCGGAGGGCGCCTTCGTCTGCGAGGTCGGCATTCACAGTGTAATGCGCAGAGACCGATTCCAGCACATCCTGATAGAAATAGAGGAATCGCCAGGGTTCTAGTTACAGTAGCCACTTGCTCACCTCGAGACCATCTCGGTATTACCACAGAAGTATCTGCTCGAGACCAGTAGCAAGGATACTTCGCACCAACGTATCCGTAACTCAGGGTAAAGTTCTCGCAGTTCACCACGGGTGGATAGCCGCAACCTTTTATATTCACGTACAGCACAGCCGGTCGCCAGTCTTCAGCTTGTGATTTATATTTCACGTGTAATTGGATGCATTTGTAAGCATCGCTGGTACAACCTTCGCGACAAGAAGCCCAAGTGCAGTTATCCAAGCCCAATCTGTCGTCTCGTCTTTCCGTTACGCACTCCGCTGGTACAGGATCGAAGTCAGCAGCTAAAGCGCTTAAAGCGGGGTCTGCGTATAGTGGAACCAGGAAGAGTAGAGCTGATCCACCTCCTCCTAGCAATGCTGCCAACATAACAGTGATGTACCGGGTCAATTTCGCACGCGTGTCCCCACGACGACGCGAGGATCGCACGACCAAACGCTCTGAACTTCCACCTCTCATTTTTATTAATACTGCGTCAACCCATGCTGAGTTATTATCCTTGCCCTAAATACTATCAACTCAAATAAAGTTGGCATGCGCGAAATCTGCACATGCGCAATGAAATAGGTATATGTTTACCAATATGTACCTACTACTTAGTTTCTCGAGTATGTCGTACGCTGCTATAAGAAGATAGGTTTGAAAATTGAATGTTTAGGAACCAAAGTTTTCGATTATATAAAAAAAAAGAAAAGCACAATAGAGTTGATGGAAAAAAAATTCATATTAGACCAAAATAAAATTATAATAAATGTCGTATCACTATGAAATTATCATTGAGTAGGTATATACCCAAAGAACTGCAAAAGTTTAGTTTTAAATGTAACTTTCCTGTTAAGAGAAATTAGAAAACGATAGGTTCATCCGCAACTATGCTATATTCATACATTATTCGCAACTATGTATATATATAATATATATACATATATATAGATATATATATATATATATATAATATTTCAACTTAGTTTCAATGATTACCATATTATTTATAAGACATGTGGTACTGATTCATTAATATTATACTTAATTGTTTTTGCTATTAATTATTGAGTTTTTGGTTTGACGAACATTTATGCAAAGCACGGGATCATTTTATCTCAATTCTTAAAAAATTATTATTTTTAACCTTTAAAGACTAACCCTTATTCATTATTTTTAATATTTTATTTTAATGAAATAAAAGTTCTAAAAAACAACAATCAATAAAATTATAGGAGCCCTTTCAGGAAATTAAACTGTGTGGTCTAACTTGGAAAGTTATTAACAATTATTTTTTTACGTAAACTATAATAGAAGCTGTATAACAATAAAGTAGCTGTCGCCTGCTGAATGAAATAAAGTAAGGAGTAATCTCAGAAGATAATACTAACAGTATTATTTTTGTCATTAGTTATTTAAATAATATAAAGTAGCTATTTACTAGCCACTGCTTAAAGTTGTAATAAATATTGTAAGAAATAAACATAATTTGCAAGAGCTCTGTAAATGCGATCTTACCCTTTCCTATTTTCGTTTATATTTTCAAAAGTTCTGTCACAAGTCAGTCACATTTCTATTGAATTTGAAGTATGTCAAAACAAGATAAAATGGCGAATAGTTGAATGTAAACAGTTATATCCAAAACTTTGTATTTATAGCATTTGCTATTCAATTCTCATTAGGTATGTCCCTTAAATTTATCAGAGTATTTGTTAGTTCATTGAGGCAGCATTTACCACGTCAGAACAGTTTATTAGCAGGTACATAAGTGCACGTGTTCTAAGTTGGTTAAGTGTTGTTCTTACTTTAAATATAACATAGAAATCAAATTAATGATTTTGTGAACATTTTTAGGTATTCAAATACGTAGTATAACAGCAATGGAGGTTGCGCCTATTGATAAAAAGGACAATTTAGTCCAGGATAAAAATCGCACCAGGTATAAACGAAGGCGACAATGGGACGATAGAAAAGAAAACGGAGAGAGTCAGGAGAAAAAACCATGCGATAAACCGTTCGAGAGAATTAAAAGAAAGAAAATGGCGATGCTACTCGGTTATTGCGGAGTGAATTACTATGGTATGCAAAGGTAATTTCATTTTCGACAATATGTCATCGTGTTATTATTACTATATAAATTACTAATATATTTCGTTATAACAGGAACCCTGGAGTTCCGACTATTGAAGAGGATCTCTTAAAAGCTTTGTATGAAGCAAAATATATAACGGAAGACGATTTTAATAATCAGCAGAATGCTCAGTTCCAAAGAAGTTCTAGGACAGACAAGGGGGTGTCAGCGGCTAGGCAGGTGGTGTCACTTAAACTACGTTAGTATAAAAACGATATAAATCTATAGAAATCTTTCAATTTAAGTTATAAATATTTCTTTGATAATAATAAAGAAAACAAAGTCATATGTTATGGTAGAACTTTATTTATGTTTTAATGGTTTTTACCTATTGAAGAAAAATAATCCATACTTTTGTGACAATTTTTATTATATATAGTAATAGATTATAAACTCCTCTTGTAATTTTTATATCTCTGGTATTTTGATAATACAGTTCATTTGTTACAAGTACATTATTTAACATAATTTTAGTTAACTTGTGACTTAATTTTTTAATATAATATATATTTAATATGTCAATAAATTATTACAACCCATTTATTATTTACAGCTCTAGAAGTAAGTGTAGATGAAATAAACAGTAGATTACCAGATTGTATCAAAGTTTTTGGTATAAAAAGGGCAACAAATAAATTTAACTCAAAATCTAAGTGTAACGCTAGAACATACAGTTACACGCTTCCTACTTATGTGTTTGAATCAAATGTTGTATCGGAAGATGAGAGGAAAGCATACAGAATCACATCTGAAAAGATAGCTCAAGTCAATGAAGTGCTCAGTTACTATAAAGGGACGAAAAGTTATCATAATTTCACTGAGAAAAAGTAAGTTTAACTTATATGGAAATACAGTTTTTTTACTATGAAGATGTATATATATGTACAGTGTTAATTCTTTATAACATTATCATTTATAAAAATTAACTCCCTGTAATGTTATGAATAGAATAATAAAATAATACAAAACAAGTATTGGCATAGCAAAAAACGTCGAAATGATCAGACTATATGTGTAAACAATCATTTATAAGCATTTATTATCAAAGACATACATATTAAAAATTCTTATTAATTTGATTGTTTTTAGTTCACTTCTATTTATTCCTTTGAGTTTCAGTATAAAGAATTCACACCGTATATATAGTTACTATGTGAGTGTAAAGTGTAAATATTATGTTTTTTATTTATAAAAAAACAAGGTTTTGCATAGCATTAAGCAGCAGCAAGCCACAATATTATTATTATATAAATAATTTTAAATAATATATTCATACATATTCCAGACATTTCCAAGATCCATCATCTCTACGGTTCATGATGAGTTTTGTATTGGAGAGAGTGTTTGTGGAATCAGAAATGGAATTTGCAGAATTGCTAGTGAAAGTGAGTTAAGTTAGAATTTGGTCCCTAGAATAATTATACCCGATTAAAACTGTTATTAAGTTTAAAGGAACTTCATTCCTTGAAATATGGTCCATCCTTACTGTCTCTTTCTACATATACATGTGAATATTTGATGCTCTTTCATGTAAAAACTACTGAGCAATTATTGCATTTTTTGTAAAGTAGTTTAGTTAACAGAAAATACAGGACTTATATTGTGTATGTTACGTCATGCGGTTCATAAATGTCGCTGTCTGTTTGTTACTATAAGTACTGTTAAAAACTATGGTATTTCCAGAGAAGGCGGCACACAAAAACTAGTAAAAATATATATAAAACTAATCATTTTTTATTATTACGCGTTATGATAAGTTTAATATACATACATACTCCCGACGTTTCGGTTACTTTGCATCAATCTTGATCATAGGCAGACAAGATGAAAAATTTCTAATCTCATTTAAATGAATACTTAGTCTTTTATTTATATTTCTCGTTATACAGGGTGACTGGTGAATTACTATCAATATTTAAGGAGAATACTCGGTACATGATTCTCATTCGAATTATGTAAAAAAAATAAGTACTTAATTTTTGACCAAATTTCCGTATAAATAAATAAAGTGTGGACACGTTCCAAGTGTTCCAAGTGTGGACGCGTGCGGCGGCGTGCTGATACAACACCACGCCGCAACACGCGTGTGTGTGTGTGTGTGTGTATACCTAATCTGTAGGGTGTTCACACGATGCTTAATTAATTACACAACTTTTGGTTAACTTTACTTAGAAGTTTATTAATATTTATGTTATATTAATTTTTATTTTGTCATATATGATCGTCAAATATCACGTCCTCAAGTATCGATAGTAATTCACCAGTCACCCTGTATATACTTTTTCATCTTTAACCAATAATATATCTGTTTAAGGGACAAAGTTTCATGTTGCATCAAATAAGAAAGATGATTGGATTGATGATCGCTGTAGTTAGAGGACATACAGACATTTCTACATTGGAGAAGTCTTTTAGCAAAGATAAAGTCATGATACCAACAGCGCCTGGCCTGGGATTGGTTCTTGATAAGGTATAATATATATATATATATATATTAACTTACTTTAAGAAAAGGAGGTTCTATCACATAAAATTGATGTCGCAATAATCCAAAAATTATTAATACATATCCTATGTATGCGTTTTTCTCTACTATTAAAAATTTTGTTCATACGAGACTGTCTTAACCATTTTTTTTTATATTTTGAGAATGTTTTATATATAATGAAGGATAATAGTAAATTAAATATATTCAGAAAAGCTCACTTAATATATTACTGTTTTTAGCATTGCAAAAGATTTTATACGATAACAAAATCTTGATATTGCTTAAGGATTTTTTTTAAATAAATAGGTATTTTATCGTAAAAGTAACCAAACTGTACGCCAGCTTTATTTATAGTAGTAATAAAAGAAAATAATGCCATTCTCACAAAAGTTGCTCATCTCAGACTATTATTAATTTAAAACGAAATTAGTGATTGTTATTTCATGATATTTATACATTTTAGGTACATTACGAGAGATATGACGCCAAATTCAAAGACAGCCACGAAAGTTTGACCTGGGACGAAGAGGAAGATGCAGTAGAGAAATTCAAACGAGAAAAAATATTTCCTAATATTGTTAAAGGTGAATTGGAATCAAATTCAATGGGAATATGGCTTGAGAAGATGCAGAATCATTCTTATGAACCATCTGATGATGCAAATGATGAAAAAGTTAAAGGTGATGATGATGATGAAATAAAAGGTGATGATGATGATGAAGTAAAAGACGATGATGATGATGATGAAGTAAAAGGTGATGATGATGATGAAGTAAAAGATGATGATGATGATGAAGTAAAAGATAATCACAATGAAGTACAAGAGCTTGGGAATAAAGTAAAAGATGTTAGTGATGTTGAAGTAAATGATAAAGGTGATGCTAGTGATATAGAAGCTAAGAAGGTGAATGTGTAAATAGTTTCAACTAATAATAAGCATAATAACTAATCACAGATATGCAAAAGATTGAAAATAAACGTAAGTGACATGTTATGTATTATTTGTTATAATAAACTTCCATTTATTTATTTAGTGTTAACAAAAATAGCAACAATAAAACAGATCATATTAGTTTCAATGTAGTTAACTGTCGCGTTGTTTTATTAACAAATAATGTAGTCTTGGCGAGTTTTACTTAATTTATAACTTAAATTCATAATATAGAAAGTATGAATGTTCACGAAAGCAAATAATCTAGTTACTTATTTTTTTTTCCCTCGGCTATTGTAATAATTTAGACATTATAGAGATATTTTAATACTGGACAAAATCTAATATATTCTAAAACAGTGGTTATGGTTTAAGATATTTTATTGTTTCATAAAGAATATTACATATTCACTTAAATGAAACTTAAAACTAATTTACAAAACTGTTTACATAAATTTTTACATTTTTGAGCGTACGAGACTAGGTTCTTAACCCGGCGTCATTGTGGCTAATAAACAGAACTTGGCCGTTGTGGTCGGCTAAATTTTACCCATGTACATTATTGTACACTGAATCAAGCATATCTCAATATTAGTCTTCTATAATAGGGAAATAGGTAGTTAAATACATTATTAATAAAAATCAAACATTTATTTATCATAAAATGAGCATATTACTCATCAAATTAAATCTTTTTATTCAGGGATAATTTTTTTAGAACATAACTTAGAAGGTTTATTCGAAAACATAACATAATAGACATTTAGAGACAAAACATAAAATTTTCTTTAGAACATAAACATGAAATTATGAACTATATAAAATAAAGCTTATTTACTAATAATATACCGACTTATTCGCTATCGAAATCAACGCAACTTTGGCATAATGGGATAATGTGTTGTATACAAATAGGCTTATTACACTTATTGCAGTTATGCCTAGTTTTTTTGTCTTTGGCAGAAGGACAGTCTTTGCATCTCGTATATGTTTTAGAACTTTTATTCGGAGGGTAGGTCATCATTTCACCGACTTGTTCGTGAATACGTTTACGTAAGCCTCTCGGTAAGTTCTCCATATTTTTTCTCACGCGAAGATGACCTTCAAGCATTGATAGACCGAGTTTTCTAAGGAAATCACGTCGGTTTGTTTTCGAGTTATTATTTTCACGAAAAATAATCACACCATTTATTGCAGCTACATTCAAGACCGCATAAAATACTGTCATGGGCCAGCGTTTTGAGTTTCGAGATACATCATAGGTAGTTTAAAGAAAAAACACAGTGGAAATTGTAATTTATTTATTAGAGAAACAAGATATCTAAAAAAGTAATACAGCTTTTAGCATTTGAACACATATTTAAACACTTTCCGGAAACTTAGTGTTGGGCTATCTTGGGAAGCTGGTCGCTGAAGATGGTCCAAAAAATATTAATGAAAATATATGCATAATAAACAATTAAATACTTTTAACATAAAATATCAAAATAAAACACATCTTTCTCATAATATTATTCACAAAAGTCATCAAATCAACCAAAACATTAAATGTGGGCTATCTTAAAACTATCAAAATAAAAATCAACTATAAAATAAAAACAAAACCTCCTCGTCCCAAAAATTTGTTAACCGACTTGTCTAGCGGTTGTAGCTGGTGAGTCGTATTTGAAGGCAAGCAATAGAGTATAATATCGTGGGCATCAGCAGCGTCAACAATTTTTGCGTCTAAATGTGAGGAGGCCCATCAAAAATTAGTAGGCATTTTCCTGGAGATTTATTCTGCCCTAAGTGGTGAAATCAACAAAAAGTTCAGTCGTCATACTGCAGTTTGGAGCCATTTTGACTAAACTACCAGGTGGTAAATTGTCACAAAATTCTGGTCTTAACCTTTTGCGTTTAAAGAGAATCATAGGCGGCACAGTGTTGCCTGTTGCAATTACACACAAAGTTCTTGAATGACAAAGTGCACTGTCTTGGTCCCTTTTGCTGCAAAAACCTTCTGTTGGTGGTGTAGTGTCAGACGACATCCCTTTTCGTCCATGTTATAAAGGCGTTCGGGGTGGGTAAAATCAAATTTTCGGCAATAGTATGAGGTTTTCCTGCTTTAGCCACACGAAAAGCTAGTCGATAACTAGCCAGCAACGCTTTCCAAATAATTTAGATTGGACATTTGTACTATACCAGTTTTTTGATGTTGAAGAGCTTGCAATTTTTTCATTTGGATGTTTTGTGTTAAGGTGGCGTGTTAACTTCGATGGCTTCATGCTTTCTCTTAACCCTTTCCCCCCGGGGTAGTGATTTTTAACGAATTTCCGCTTTTGAACTTTATTTTCATAATAAGGTAGGTAAAATTAAAAACACAGATTTTTTTTAGATTTTTATTATAGTTAGAAGTACTATTTCCAAGACCTAGACTTATAAGTACCGTCAGGAACTTCGTGTTAACAGAGTGGTAGGAACTTTGATAGAAACTACAAAAATAATGAGATCCACTATTGACTTAGCAGTAATTAAATTAATGACTTAAGTAGTAGTAATAAAAAAAAAAAATTACAGGTTAACCTCGTGGTATTCAATAAAACAATTTTTCTTTTCGTTTACACACAAAAACACGTTGCAATGCGAACATTTACTATGAGGTTTCGACTGAATCTTCTTCAAACTACAAACCTCACACCTTCCCCTGTTCTCTACAAACGTCAATGGATGCCTCTGTTACCTAAGCGTACGTCTTTTATAGTGGAGTAGTCAGATTTGCGTCTTTTGGAAGGGCCGCCTTTTGCAGTATTGTCAGTAGAAGTCTTCCTTTTCTGACTAGCATCTTTCATTGTCATCAAGCCTTGAGTAACAGAACGTCTAAAATCTTTTACGGTAGTCTGTTCCATTATAAGTCCATGAATGACATATGCATTGACAAATACGATGTCCAGAAGACCCCAAAACAATCTGTGCCACCATTTCGGAGATTTGCGATCTATACAGTAAAGGGCTCTCAAACGATCAGCTGTATCTACGCCGCCCATATACATATTGTAATCTTTGACAGCTATAGGGCATGTAATGGCTGACTTGGTTCCATTTTTTTCTTTACGTGACACAGTTGCCTCTTCGTTCCCGTGAAAATTAGACACTAAATGAACCATTTTATTATCCTTCCATTTCCAATATCCAATGTCTAAATTTGAAAATCGATGATCACTATCGCCCCTTTTCAATTGAGAATCAGCGAGCATATTTCCGGGCAGTCCTTTTCTGTTACTTCGGATAGTTCCACATGCGTAGGTGTTTTCAGTTTTCAGTTTCTCAAGTAAAGCCACAGACGTGAAAAAATTATCAAAGTAAACTACCTTCCCCTTACTCCAATCTTGTTCCGTTAACTCCAAAACTACTTTCTCTCCTAATCCATAGCCGGTAAATTTTGTGTTCAGTTCTTCGTCTTTCCCTTGGTAAATTTGAAACTTCTTTATATACCCCCTCTGGTCAGCAAGACACCACAGTTTGTACCCCCTTTTTATGGGCTTCATAGGTAGATACTGTTTTAGGACAGACCTACCTTTGAATTTAATCATGGACTCATCTACACTCAGTTCGCGAGTACCATGATAAACCATTTCAAATTTTTTATTGAGTGCATCAATCATTGGTCTAATTTTATATAATTTATCTTTGCAGCCTGAAGGCATTTTGGAGCTATCATTGCAATGCAGATGAGATAAAATAATAGCGAACCTGTCTCTAGGCAAAGTCTTGCAAATAAGCGCGTTGTTGAGATCAGGTGCCGAAGAGTAGTGGTCTCTCCACGCCGGACGAGTATTGTAACCCATAAAAAAATTAATACCTATAAATGTTAGGAGTTCCTCTTTTTTTAGGTTCAATACTTTGCTTTTCTGAGTAGCATAAAGGTTACTTTGGTATACAATATTGTCAACAATGTCATCAATCAATACTAAAAATATATCAGTCGGTGTGGTACAGTGAGCAAACCAGTCATCTACTACTCCAGTATCCGCAATGTATTCCGGTAAAGATGTACTTAGGTCCCTCTTTTTCCATTTACGGTTTGGTTCGGGTAATCGCTGGTTAGTTCGGTGTGAAGAGTTATTTGCAGATGGTAGATCAGGCTGAACACTAGGTGCAGGTAATGAAGATGTGGGTACCTGATTTATTGGGTACTCCAATACATCTTCATTTGACGGCGACGACGGCGGAACTTCGGCCAAAACATCTTCTATAGCTCTTTAAAAATTTCATCGAAACCTCTTGGCGAGGGTAGTTGAACATTTTCCACTTCATCATCGGACACACCTGCATCAGACGCTTCGTCGCAGTCCGGAAGCTCTTCTAATAACAGGGCTTCAATTAGAGCCGTATTGTTTTTAATATCCATCTCAATTCCTAAAACAATAAAAACCTTGATTAGAACAATAATAAAAAAAAAATAACATGGGTTTATAAAAATAATAATAAAATAAAATAACCACTTCATCGTATACATGTATTATAAAAAATCATAATATTTGAGACTAGAATCACCTGACGGTACTTTTAAGTCCGCAGTAGTTTTTATCAAATATTCGTATGAAATATCGTGATAATACATTATAACAGCTTTTAGAAATATAGCCAATGATATAAACAACGTAAATAGTAAAAAAAATAGCACTTACCTGTGATATTCTACTTATAAAACTTTTTTTATTTCACTGCACAACGAAATGAAAAAACAATCGACAAGTTGTGACAAGAATTTCAATTTTTACGCCAATGTCGCGCGGTAATTCAATTAACGCGCTGTGATTGGCTGACGGAAACGGTACTCTAAAGGATCGTCAGTTGCCGTTCACGTAAAGTGTTTTCGTACTAAAGATATTAGACGAAAAATGTGGTGGTACTTCTAAGTACCGTAAGGAGGGAAAGGGTTAATAAAGTTTCAAAGCAAATAACGCACTGTGGTTTATTGTCAATCACAGTAAACCCGAATTTCAAATAATTGTCATCATAAAGACGTTTTTTCTTTATTTTACTTCCATAACTATCACCAGAAGTTGACGGTTCTATTTATCTTTTCAGGAATTTATCCATTTTAAACTATGACAAATCACTACAAATGCGAAATTATTACAATAAGTTAAAAACAATTTCTAACGGTCGTTAAACAATTGATTGTTGACGTGGGACCGAGCGAGTATCGCTTCGCATGGACATTCGTCCTGATCACGCTTTGATATCATATCCTGGGAATAAACACTATTGATGAACGATCTGATACAATCATTATAATTCGTTAATAATGTTTTACAATAATATTATATATGGCTAATATATGTATATATATATATATATATATATATATATATATATATATATACAAAATTTCTCACATTATATACAGTTAATTATATTTCATTTGCATGACTATATCCCCCCATGGGTGTTCCTCATCCACGCCACTTAGGCAGGGCCACGGTATACCAAGAGCTTGCCTCGCGACCCTGCCGGCTCTTGTCCACTCCGGACCTCGAACTAGGGGGGACAAATCCCCCCGCAAGCCACCACCGCGAGCCGCCTCTGGAACAAGAGGGGCTAGCACTGCATGACTATATCCACATAATATCATTAATTTTATAGTTTGATAGTATCAAATATAGTTCAAGTCAGATATATACTGCAAACTTTATAAATATATTTAACAAATGGGAATCAAACCGGGAAATAAATACCGTTCGACCGTCACATTGACAGACGTAAATTTCGTAGCGAGAACTGTTAACAACTCCATGTACTGTCCCTACTGTACAAGCCGACTAGACATTAACTAGAGATCTTCTAAAAAATCGCAACTATTTTTTTTTTTAACCCGGGGGAATGTGCTCTACACATACCCGACCTAGCGGGGACTGGGCCGGGTTATGTGGGGAGGACAGACGCACCGACCCACTAAACCTAACCGGGGTGTTCCACTCCTCTCCGCTGGGGCGTCATGGGTTTGCTATAGCGCACCGCAACGCAACGGCTGTCAGACGTTCTGACTCACTTTTTAGGAGAACCTAGACTCTCCCTCCATTCCATCGATGTCGCCCCCGGAACATGAGAGGCGCGCACCCACCCTAACCCTCTAATATGGGCGACGGAATTCAACATCCGCCACCCATAGGTTTATGAATAGATGTGTTAAGGGTAAAGTGTTATTAACTGTCCAAACCAATCAAACCATGAAAAAAACTTCAATTTCCTTAAAAATACACATAAACATTAAAAACGATAATTTACTCTTAAAAAAGTGATCTTGACAATTTTGATTTTCATTACTTAAACGAATATGGTTGGTTACAGAGGGGTATCTTCAGTATCGTGTAGGTCCTCCTCGGTTACAAACGCACTCTCTGAGCCTATTTGGGACACTTTCAATTAAATGGCTGATGTTTTCTTGTGGTATCTGCTCCCAGCAGACTTTTAAAGGGTTTATGAGCCCCTGTTGACTGTGCACTGTAATTTTATTTTATGCTTCTTTTCAACTGGTCCCATAAATGTTCGATTGGGTTGAGATCGGGGCTCATTGCTGGCCATGGTAAAACAGAGATATTGGCTTCAGATAGTGCCCTCTGGGTTAGGCGAGCCGTATGAGCACGAGCATTACCTATCTTGCATTAGAATAAAATTTTCGCCCACTCGTTGTGCATAGGGAACTAAATATGAGGTCGGACCACACGCCAGCAGTTACGGTACCCTCGTTTAACCCGGCGTCATTGTGGCTAATAAACAGAACTTGGCCGTTGTGGCCGGCTAAATTTTACCCATGTACATTATTGTACACTGAATCAAGCATATTTCAATATTAGTCTTCTATAATAGGGCAATAGGTAGTTAAATACATTATTAATAAAAATCAAACATTTATTTATCATAAAATGAGCATATTACTCATCAAATTAAATCTTTTTATTCTGGGATAATTTTTTTAGAACATAACTTAAAAGGTTTATTCGAAAACATAACATAATAGACATTTAGAGACAAAACATAAAATTTTCTTTAGAACATAAACATGAAATTATGAACTATATAAAATAAAGCTTATTTACTAATAATATACCGACTTATTCGCTATCGAGATCAACGCAACTTTATCATAATGGGATAATGTGTTGTATACAAATAGGCTTATTACACTTATTGCCGTTATGCCTAGTTTTTTTGTCTTTGGCAGAAGGACAGTCTTTGCATCTCGTATATGTTTTAGAACATTTATTCGGAGGGTAGGTCATCATTTCACCGACTTGTTCGTGAATATGTTTACGTAAGCCTCTCGGTAAGTTCTCCATATTTTTTCTCACGCGAAGATGACCTTCAAGCATTGATAGACTGAGTTTTCTAAGGAAATCACGCCGGTTTGTTTTCGAGTTATTATTTTCACGAAACATAATTACACCATTTATTGCAGCTACATTCATGACCGCATAAAATACTGTCATGGGCCAGCGTTTTGAGTTTCGAGATACATCATAGGTAGCACAGAGCTCATCAACCACATCGACGCCAGCTTTCGTAGAATTATAAAATGTAATTATCTCTGGTTTCCTTTTTTCACCACTAGCAGGATCAATGTTTGGTCATGATGAAGAGAAGATAATACCAGCACCACTTTAGACCGTTTAGGCATGTAGGAAATAAGCGTCATATCTTTTTGGAATGCAAACTGAGTGCTGTATACTTCTTTTCTTTGCGTGGTTGTAAAGTTTGGTGGGATTTCTTTTTTGTTTTTACGTAATGTACCTGTAGATGTTAGTTTATGATTTTGAAAAATTTTAGTAATTTTGAAAATATGTACTAAGATACCAGGAATATGTATCTAAATATAAGATAAAAATAATAAATATAAAAAGTATTTCAAATAAAAGATGTAAATACGTATTTTGTATCTTGTATCTGTATTTCAGATACTTTTATTTAAGATAAGTCACATCTCTGCTAGACATAAACTAGAGATCTTCTAAAAAATCGCAACTACCCTCAACTAGCGCAGTAACTCTTATTGGTGGATCGCAACCGGAGCTCTCTTAAGTAATCTTAACATGGATACGCATATTACTATTCGTAATATTAAAGGATATGTGCTGAAATATCGCGTATTAGTTCGTTATTGGAAAAATATATAGGGTCGAATAAGCGGATTATGGAAAAAATACAAGAAAATATTTTTGCAGATCTTACAAAATACGGTCCCTAGACCGGACCATCTTCGGCGACACTACCTTAGTTTGAATTGATATAGGTACAAATTAAAATTAAATAATTCATTAAATTCATGCAAAGTATACGTTACAAAAAATCACTAAAAATATACAAATTAATACAAAATAAAATTAAGATAACAAAACAAAAAAATAGCTATTAAACATAATTACATATTTATTTATTTATTATTTATTTGCATCTCTCAACAATTCTAGCGTCCGTTTACGATAAATCATGGCAGAGTCATTAAAAATATCTAGATCTTGACTAAAACCATTGTACAACCGAGATGATCTAGGTATTGGTGCATTACATCCTAATTTCGTTTTTGATATCCTGACATCATAAGTACTCAGAAAACTACGAGCATTGCGCCGTGGAATACGATAGTATATCTTTTCAAGTAAGTCAGTACAGTCGATCTCGTTACGAATTATCTTAAATAGGAAAGAAAGATCTAATAATTGTCTGCGTACAGAGACCATCCATATTAAAATACTTCAAGAGATTGCTGTTTGATTGTTCATCCACAGGTCGAATTTAAGTCGAATTTATTGACATGCGGCCAAAGGTTGGATCTTTTGAGGCAAGCATTTATTTCGTCAGCACGTGTTCCTTGAGTCACAACTGATAGGATTTGACGGAAATCTCCTGAGAGCAGAATTGTACATCCACCCATAGGTGAATTTTTGTTGCGCAAATCGCGCATTGTCCTATCCAGTGCTTCTACAGACGTCTTGTTTGACATGGTAGCTTAGTCCCAGACTATTAATGAGTAGTCACTCATCAATTTTCCTGTATTGCTCTGTTTAGAAACACTACACTATCGGTGGCGATTTTCAGCGGGAGCTTGAATGTGGAGTGTGTGGTTAAGCCTCCTTCCAAAGGCGTAGCGGCAAAGCCGGATGAGGCAACAGCTAACGCAATTTTTCCGATAGATCTCACTTTTTTTCTGATTGATGTTTAATCGGGGCTCATCTTGAGCTATATTTTGTAAAAGTCTTGTTTGATCGTATGATGTTTCTCTTGTGTACCTATTCTATTCGGCACTGTTAGTTAAATCTGAGTTAGTAGTATTAGCTGGCATCGGCAGCCCAAAATCCTTGATCGATTTACCCGAAAGTAATTGCACTACTTTATTCAATTCCAATAATGCTTCG